TTTTTCACACTCTCCTTGATCTATAAAGGGTGCTTTCTTTATTTGATCATCAACAGAAGCAAAATGCTAGGCCACAAACTTTTCTAAGCGCGACCAGATTCAAAGTATGCTTAAATGGGGGCATTGATGTATGTAGAAAAACAGGATTAAGATCCCATGCAACGCTTCGAAATGTAAAAGAAGAATAAGAAAAATAAGTTGAGATTCGACCTTTATGTCTAGACATTGCAAAATGCAATTCGTATTGGTATTTTTATTCCATCTCAGAGTGATTATAGACGTTATTATTAAGGATAATACAGTTTAAAGCTGTCCGGGTTTTTGAAGATAATGCCTCAAAATAAATCGAACAAGCGCTGTTTATTTCTTTATTAATGGTCTGTTTCTACTGTTTATCTATTTTCCTTGCCAACCCTCGAAAACGAATTTATTATGCATTTCACAGAGGAAGTTTGCATAGGAGAACTATATACAAATTATTTATTGGGCTTATTTTGCTTTCTAATGGATCCGTACAATATATGGCACAGCTTTAGGGGCCTGGAAGAGCCCCTACCGGGGGTTCCGGGGCGAAGCCCCAGGATGCTCTCAAGTTTATTTGACTTTCGAGAGAGGTTATTTCTTAAATGAAGTGAAAGGTCTCTTGAAAATAAAACAGCCCTTCATTTCATTTTAGAAATAAACTCTAATCCATCCCTTGATATTTAAATCGCACTGCTCCTACTATGCGTTTTTTCACACTCTCCTTGATCTATAAAGGGTGCTTTCTTTATTTGATCATCAACAGAAGCAAAATGCTAGGCCACGAACTTTTCTAAGCGCGACCAGATTCAAAGTATGCTTAAATGGGGGCATTGATGTATGTAGAAAAACCAGGATTAAGATCCCATGCAACGCTTCGAAATGTAAAAGAAGAATAAGAAAAATAAAGTGGAGATTCGACCTTTATGTCTAGATAATTGCTTAATGCATTTCGGATTGGTATTATCTTCCATCTGAGAGTGATTATAGACGTTATTTATATGGATAATAAAGATAAAGCTGTCCGGGTCTTTGAATACAATGCTTCAAAACAAATCGAACAAGCGCTGTTTATTTCTTTATTCATGGTCTATTTCTACTGTTTATCTATTTTCCTTGCCAACCCTCGAAAACTTATTAATTTATTATGCATTTCACAGAGGAAAGTTAATGATGAAACATATGGGCGCAGGCCAAGATTTATACCCACTCAAGTGTGAATTTGGCGCATCTTCCCTCATCTTCTTCAACCAGGAAATGGACTTCATTAATTGTAGCCTTAGGACAGGATGGTGACATAAAATTGATAAAAGAACATCATAATCAGATTATCCGACCCCAGAAACCCCATGAATTCATCAACTTTTATCCTACTGGTCCTTTTCCTTTTGATACTACGCTTGACCTTTAACTCGGATGGCGGTCATTTTTTATTTGGCCACTATGACCAGCATGACAGCCCCAAGGAGACCTGTAATTGATACAAGCACATCATAATCAGATTCTCTGACCCCGAAAACCCCTTTAATATTTAAACTTTTATCATTCTAGCCCATTTCCTTTTGAAACTACACATGACCTGTAACCATCAGATGACGGCCATTTTGGATTTGACCAATATGACCAGTATGGCAGCCCCAAGGAGACCTCAAATCGATGAAAGAACATCATAATCAGATTCTCTGACCCCCAAAACCCCATAAATATAACTATTATCATACAAGCGCTTTTCCTTTTGGAACTACGCTTGACCTTTCACTCAGATGGCGGCCATTTTGGATTTGCCCAATATGGCATACCCAGAGGGCGCCCTTCACTATGAAAGCGGACAAAATATACAGTTCCTCAGGTAGACAAAGGAACATCCCTTCACTGGCATTATGTAAAAAGGTGAATATGCATGTGACACCTGTTCTACACATTTTAACACAATAGCAGTGAAGGGATGTTCCTTTGTCTACCTGAGGAACTGTATATTTTGTCCGCTTTCTTTGTCAGTCATATTCATAGTGCTTCTTGTATGGTATAATCTACCTCTGGGCCAAATTTGGTGCTTTTAGAAGAATCTGCACCAAACAACCCAGAAACGGGAAAAGAAGGAGATCAAGGGGGGGGGGGGCCGAAAGGGTCTTGCCTCCCAGGCTGTTGCCCTCCCCCCAATCAAAAAAATAAGAGAGATACGGGCGTACTGGAAGGGGGGGGGGGGCCTTGGGGGAAATCAAATTCAAACGTGGTTTAATTCTAATTCCATAACGGTGGATTACAAATAATGCTGAAATGACATAATTTCCGAGATTTTTCCTCACTTTTAAGTAAATTATACTTTTTTATGTGTTTGTTGGAAAATTACGAATTCCTAAATTTACAGCCAGGCAAGAATATACGGCGGGGAACGGGAGCCTCGACCCCCCCCCCCCACACTTTTTTTGAAAAAATATATTAAAGACAAATTAAAAAGAAAGAGAGCAAGAAAGAAAGAATAGTTAACTGCCATTCTCAAAAAATAATGAGGCATCAAAATATGCTCATCTGACCGTGATTAAATGCCTAAGTGTCTGACATGAGTGTCAGAAATGAATTATTGATTTGTTGATTTTCTCAACGGTTCAACAATACTTGTATTTTTAAAAGCCAATTTCATTTATGTTATAAATGTAAATTACCTTGGAAATATATTTTTGTATGTGTTTCAAATGAAAATCAATAAAATCCCTGTGGAGGGAAAAATATGAAGAAAAAAAAAAATTAAATGCCTAAAACCCCTAAGCTTCCGGGGTCGGACAAGGATTCTACATGGGGCCCTAAGGCGGGCTCCTGAATGCTTATCTGACCGTAATTGATTGCCTTAAACCCCTGAGCTTCCGGGGTCGGACAAGGTATCAAAATGTGTTTATTTGACCGCAGGCGCGTAGCCAGGAAGGGGGGGGGGCGGTAGGGGCGGTCTAGGGAGACTTAGATTACCTATAGAACGGAAAAGGTACCTGTCTGCTTTGATTGGTATGGGACGTTTGATATATTCAGGAATAAGATTATTTAAACTTTTGTACATCATAATTTATATATGTTCTTCTTGGCGGACACTTAGTAATTTCCAATGTAAGACTTCATGGATATGATTCTTCCTGCTCTGTTCTGAAGGTTTTGCAACATATCTAGATTTTTTTTTTGGAAGGGGGGGGGGCAGACTGCCAGATTATATCGGTGTTATCAAAATGGGGAAAAATAATTGAGGAATAAACAATTTTTAAAATAGATTCATTTACAGAATGTCTCAGTCTACCAAGAAAACCTATCATTTTACCAATTTTAGAGCACATTTGTTCAATATGAAAATTCCACTTAAGCTCTTTATCAAAAAAAAATTCCAAGGTATTGTACTGTTTCTACATTTTTAATATACGTATTTTGAATTCTTAAATCTAAAACATCATGCCTTGCTAGCATTTGTCTTGTTCCAAAAGACATGCATACAGTTTTAGTACAATTTATTTTCAAATTATTTCTATTCATCCATTTAAACACTTTGGTAAGTTCGGAATTCAAGGTTGTCTCAACAACTTTAGGATCTTTATCAGAAAAATATAAAACACTATCATCTGCATAAAAATGGAAAGCACATTTGTCAAATACAGGAGCTAAGTCATTAATAAATAATACAAAGAGAATTGGCCCAATCAAACTCCCCTGGGGCACCCCGTTGTTAATAGAATATTCATCCGAAAATGTATTATTTAAAAAAAGTAGTGATTTTTCTTTTCGACAAATAACTTGAAAACCAGTCCAAAGATTTACCAACTATACCAAGCCCAGCTAGCTTGGATAAAAGTAGCTCGTGATTGACCATGTCAAAGGCTTTATGTAAATCGATGAATACCGGGACGGTGTAATGTCCGCTATCCATGGCTTGGAGCCAGTTGTCAGTTACTTTCAACAATGCTGTTGTGGTTGAGTGCTTAGCTCCAAATCCTGATTGCTCAGGTACTAACAATTTGACGTTTCATTAAATTGTCTGATGTTCAGTCATGCGTGAAGGGATTCAAATGAAAATGGTACCTAAATGTACTGGGAGGATAACTGTATCAAGACATATGAAACCCCTGATTAAATAGTCAAACTTCAAACAATACAACTTTTAAAAAGTGGGACATTTTTTCTGACTCACCCTGTATAACTTCAAAACCTTGTAAAATTATGGTATAAATAATTAATGCCTTCCAACTGTATATGATTATGTTTTGTCTCTGTGATAATAAGTAACCAGACGTATACTTGCTTTGTTATGCATTTGTGATAGTTTGATAACGAGATGTAAAAATGGAAAGGTGAGATTTGTTATCATATATTTCATTTGTGTTGAAGTAATGTAGCTACAATATCTTGTAATATTATGTAAAATTATATATGTTATAATTATGTGTTTTTTGTGCATTGAATGAACCATAGCACATCTTTCAAAACAAATAAAAAGTAACAGTGCATTCAGACAAAGTCATACAAGTGTTGGCATAAATATTTCCCCTGGAGGGGCTTGGTGGTAACGCTACTTCTCAGTCTAAGTCAGAAAACTTTATTCCTGTCTTGGTGTTACCACTTTCTCTTGCTCAGCATGCCACCATGGGCGGGGCTTTAGTAAAAAAAAAAAAAAAAAACTTCAGTGCTCGCCTTCGTGTATTCAAGGACGAATAGGCCTATATCATTGTCCCAGGAAAAGCAGCGATGGGCGGCGTTCCATTCTTTCCTTCGACCAATCATAACCTACCAGTCACGCATTTCAGATGATATGTTTATGTCCTGCGAAATTCGGGTGTGTGGCCTGATGATATTTTGGACAAATCTGAGTGGCCTACGACACTTTCATTTGATTGGTTTATTTTCCTTTTGATCATTACTGATGGGATGGGTGAAAATTGTCCTTTCCACCAATCAAAACCCAAGTTTGATATACTGTGGGGATGTATTCTACTTGTAATACTATAAATGTGGGCATCCAATCCTTCCAGCTTCATATCGAGGATCCAGCAGGCAGTTGCACAGCAAGATTGGAAGGACAGAAAATCTCCGAAAGCTTTTGATACTGTGAGCAGGGTGAGTATATTTTCTCTCTTCCTCAAAGTATCTCTATCAAATATCATGCATGGCATTTTGGCCGCATATATGTTTCTAGATCAGATACAGTTGGCCTGTAAGGAATAAGTTGCTTCCTGTTGCACCATGGAAGGGTGAAATAGAAGTAGTATTATTTGACATCTTTGAGTGATACTTTGAGAGATTACAATAGAAAGGGTAATTGGACGATTTTAATAATACGCCAACATTACAACTATTTGAATATCATGGCTAGCTCATCATTATTTCTGATCTTGTTACCACCGACCTACCAGTTCTAAGTAGCTTTCTCTATAAACCATTGCCGTATTTTGTATTGTGTCAGTAAGCAGTAAAGGGCCATAGTCATTTCGTTTATCCTCCTCGTTATTCCAACAACAAGCTGAATATTCTCTTTCACATTATTTTTGAATTTTTAGTTCTTCTTTGAGTCCGACAAAACGTCTTGAACATGGCCCAACTTTTCTTGTACATGGCACTCGCTGCTACATTCGTGCTTGTTTCAAGCATCCCGCGTTGTAAGTATACTTTTTTCTTTGAAATGTACCAATATATAAATAATAATATTACAAATATTTAAGAGTGATTTTTACACAGTCTCACAACTTAAAGTTAGGATACATTGCACATGACATATTACATGACTCTTAAGCATGTTAATTGGATTATTCATAGTCCCTCCACGCCCTCCAACCAGACAGGTAAAATACATTATATAAATGAGATCTAGATTTAAAAAAAGATGCCGATAGTTTTGCAGACCATGACATGTTAGTTGATTAAAAAACGCTATTAATTTTTTTTTGCACTTTCACTTAGATTTTTTTAGAGACTTTCTTTTTAAAGGAAGAAAGTTGAACCATACATGTCTGTATTTATAGAAGGACCATGAAGAATATGAAAGTAGTCTAGGAGGGCATTTCAAAAGCACTCAATTCTATCAGATGCCTTTATTACCATGCTCTTTCGGCATCCTCATCGTACACAGGCGCGTACGCAGGGGGGGGGGGGGGGGGGGGGTTAAACCCCCCTTTCGATTTTCTAGTTTTATTTTAATTTTTTTATGCCAATGGCTGACCTAAAAAAGGTGACCTTACCCCCCCCCCAACGGAACAAAATGTCAAATTTTCAAATTTCGAGACCCCCCCCCCAAAAAAAACCAGTGTGCTCTTACCCCCCCCCTCCCCCCCCCCCCCGCTTATTCAGCGTCTGGCTGAGTTGTTGCGATTTTTTTGGAACCCCCCCCCCCCCAAAAAAAAAGTGTCCTCTTACCGACCCCCCCCCCCCCCCCCCCCCGCTTATTCAGCGCCTGGCTGAGTCGTTGCGATTTTTGAGACCCCCCCCCCCACAAAAAAAAGTTTCCTCTTACCACCTCCCCCCCGCTCATTTAGCGGTTGGCTGAGTCGTTGCGATTTTTTTGGCCCGATTTTACCCCCCCCCCCTTGAAAAATTCCTGCGTACGCCACTGATCGTACATAACTTATTTCGAGTAACTTATCCAACTAAAGCTGTTATGAATGTAGTTTACCATCACTGTATGATTATGATTAGTAAATTGATTTCTGTAAAATTTTAGCAGTGAGAAACAAGTTTCCGAATGGTCAATAAATCTTTAATTTCAATTTAATGTCATTCTCGCTTAAATGAATAAAAGAATGCGAAAGCCCACATTAATCATTTTTTTTAGGCACCGACGATCCAAATGGGACCAACTACAGGGGAGAGTTGGCCCAGACCATCTCCGGTAAAGAATGCCTATCTTGGACCTCTCCGAACCCAAAGATTAAAGCCCTGACACCCGCCAAATACCCTAATGCGGGCCTTGGAGATCACAACTACTGCAGAAACCCCGACAATGAATTCACCGCCTGGTGTTACACCACCGATCCTGATACCCGATGGGAGTATTGTGCCGTTGGTGATTTCAGCCAACAATGCACGAGTAAGTATTGTATAATTATATATGCGAATAAATTCAGAACAAAAAATATAGTGGACGCTATATAAAGATATTTAAATAGAATATTGAATTCGAGTTATTTTTCATATATATTAATAACATAAAGTAACCCCCTCTAAGATGATATGGAATTTGAATCATACCACTAATGACTCATGCATGAGTTTGCATAGTTATTAATTAGTCTCTGAAAGAAAATAATTAAAATCGCATCCTACCGGGTATCTCTATGGGTGGAGAGAGCCAATTTAGCTAAAGTGCCTTAATTGAGGACATGAGTGACTTGCCGGGGATCGAACTCACGACCTTCTTCTATATCCAGTCAAGTTAGTGTTTAAACCAATCGACTACGAAACTTCTACTTATTCCACATTGAATTAGGTCGAGAATGCTACCACCTACACTCTGCCCGTGACTACCGAGGAGACGTCTCGACTACTAGGAGCGGTCGCGAGTGCCAAAACTGGACCTCCCAGTCGCCCCATCGTCACAGCATCACGCTACAAAACAACCCTAGCTCTGGCCTCGGTAACCACAACCTCTGCCGCAACGCCGGCAGCTTTGTAGCTTTCGCCTGGTGCTACACAACCGACCCCAGTGTCCGTTGGGAGTTCTGCAACATCGGATTGCCCGAAGGGGGTTGCTAAATGGCGTTTCATTGTCTCCCTAAAATGAGCGGAGGGGGAGGGGGTGTTTCTTGAATCTTGTCATGTTTGGTCATCGTAATTTTGCTCATTCTATCATCTTTGGAAACAAGGGTGACTTTGTAGGCCGTATGGTGGCTGACTTACTGCTATGATTATAACTTCCTATATAGGTTTCACTGTCTGTCATTAATTCTTAATGGAATACATACAAAGGTTAAGGGGCAAAGTCATTATTGTTCAAACCTCTCTACGAAAAAGTCCCGCCCCCCCCCCACTCAGTGTTATTTAGGGTACGCATAATAATGCTCGTTCCCTCTTTTTGAAAGCACCCCCTATCTGAGGACTGCCAACATTTCCGAACCCCCCTTTCGCGGGCTTTTCGCGGGCTTTTCCTGCCTTGGAGACCCCCTAAATTCGGAAAAATGCTCAATGTACCCCCCTTAATTCGGAAAAATGCTCAATTTACCCCCCTAAATTCGGCCGAATTTTTAAGGAGTCCAAAGAGATGAGAGAAAAAAGAAAAAATACCCCCTTTTTAAAGAAATCTCCGGGTGAAAGTCAAATACACCCCTTTTCTTACAATTCTCGGGCCGGACTTTGACGCACGAAAAGTACCCCTTTACCGGACATTTTGGTAACACTCATGCGGTCATTTCGACCCCGGAGTGGGGGGGGGGGGGGGGCGGGGAAAAAGTATAGACCTAATTTCCTGTTCATATTTGAACAATTGCTAACAGTCTTTATTATTAAGGTGTAGGTCTTTGTAATTATAGAGGTGTTGTTGATCTATTTATTTCTATTGTTCGGAGAGGAAGTTTTAAATGTCTCTATTAAGTGGAATATATTGCAGACAAAAATAACAAAGAAACAAATAGAAAAGAAATAGAGGGAATTGGAAGAATAAATGTTTCATTACTTCACCATCACAATTTTTTATTTCATTGATAATATGACAGTGTAACTCACAATGGAGAAACAGTAGTCACAACATTTCTTCGCAATTATTAACCAATGGAAACGTTGCTGTTTTTACGCTTTGAATTTGTATTAGACTTAGAATGAAATCCTAGTATTGAGCTGTATCGGCTATGGTGTATTACTAGATTAAATATTTCATACACTGTTGGTCATAATGGTGGAATAATTATTTTTACCCCAATTTATTGAATGATTTTGACAATGATTTATTCCTAATATATAGATCTATAGATATTAGTATACATTCTCAGATTTTATTGAATGACAATTGGGGAGTGTTTGTTTTGCGTGACTGCTAAATCATGTGTGTGCTACTATGCTAATCAACTAGGGGACCTACGTTCTTAAGTCATAACTGACAGTAATAGGGATTAATGCCTCATAAAAGGACACTAATATAGCACATCGACACGGTTTTGATTCTGGGGGCTCACATTAACGAGACCATTGCTTAGCCAAGAAATCATGACTGTACGCAGCGGTCGCTAGGGTATACGTCGACGCCCCCACAAAAACAAAAAAACAAAGAAAATGCAATAAATTTTCAATAATTCGTTGCATTTTGCCCCGAACCCAATATAAAAAAGCAGTCACGCAAAACAAACACTCCCCAATTGTCATTCAATAAAATCTGATAGTGTATACTATTATCTAGATCTATTAGGAATAAATCATTGTCAAAATCATTCAATAAATTGAGGTAAAATTAATTATTCCACCATTATGACCAACAGTGTATATAAAATTAACAATCGTTTAATGTATCAATACTGCATTCATTGATAATGATAACGTTACACCACCCCCTGTGCAAACATTGTTTAACAATAAAAGACGATTGAAACATCTCTAGCACAATAACAATGTTGTGTTTACTTTGTTGTATTCCTGTTTAATGGACAAGTTTTTACACAAAATGGTAATTTCTTTGTCGTTACCCGTTCTTCACTATACGTTTATTTACTATATAATGGTCGGTTGGAGGAGGAGGGGGGGGGGGGGGGGTCAAAAAGGCAATGGTTTCCATGCCAGCAAAGAGAAGATGGAGAGGAAACGCAGATTGTAAATATGAAAATGGGAAGGAATAGGAGGAAGAATGAAAGAGCAAGGGAGAGAGAGCTAGAGAGAGAGGGATAAAAGAAAATGTAAGAGAAAACTAATAGAGAAAATAGACAACGGAAAAGGAAACACAACGAGAGGAATAAAGGAGAATATAATATAAAACTAATAGAGAAAATGGAAAAAGGACAAGGAGAAGAAAAGAGAGAGAGAGAGAGATTAAAAGAGAGACTTATGTGTGAGAAGGAAACTAAGAAAGAGAGAGAAAGAGAGAGTGAGAGAGAGAGAGAGAGGGTGTATGTGTGTGTCTGTGTCTGCATGTGTTTGTGTGGAGGTGGAAGAGAAGGATAGGGGGAGTGTGTGAGAGAGAGAGGGAGAGAGAGAGAGAGAGAGAGAGGGAGAGAGAGAAAGAGTATGGCAGCTATATATAGAGAGGAGAATTATGTGAGAGAATGAAAGATGGGGAAACAGAGACCCAGTGAGCGACATAGACATATAAACAGAAAGAGATATAGACAGAGTTAAAGACTTTGGGGATTAAAGACAGGTTAAAAGATTGGAGAAAAATTAGAGCTGTACCCCTGTACCTGCATGTCCCAGGATTGTATCAGCTACAGAGCGTGAACAATGGCCTCAAGAAATTCAGCAACAAAGAATATTGCTGCACTTTCGCGCGAAATCCCGTTTTTGCTAACACAAATAAATCCATCTGCACGCCGCCGCAACCATGCAACCTTTAAAGGTCAGAAAGTTCACACCCAATATGCAAATGAGATTGATCTTCATGCCTCATTGACATTTTATCGATTATTGGGGTCAAAGGTCGTCTGAGGGTTATGCGCGCGCGCTGAGGTTCATTGGACTTTTCCACTAGCCAGACGGGTGTGTCGTGAAAATTTAGGTCAAGGTCAGTAACCTTATTCACAATTGTCTTGCAGTTTCCTTCAATATTTTGCCTAGTCGATGGTGGAAACTGTTTTTTCAGTGAAACTTTTGATTTTTTCTTGTAAGAATCTAGGTACAAAGCTAATGCTTGCTTTATATTCTCAAAATTGTTATGACAAAAATCAACTACCTCTCATTGAGACTCACGTACTTCCTCTGGAGAATGCATTCGGCAAGAAGTCCGCGAGGAAACCCCGCGAACTGACCGATTATCGATTATCAAGTCCATGAATTGTGTGACGTCATGATGAACTGTTTTCACCGAAAAATAGCACGAAGGTAAGCACATTCAGCCACAAAATTTGTCCTTTGAATAACATGATTTTGCAAAGATATTGAGTTATATGATGAAATGTGTGTTAAATGACCTAACTGCAACTGAATGGTTAATTTCTGTCAAGTATTAGTCGTGAAATCGTACGATGTTTACTCGCTATGTGAGAGTATTTTTCGCGACTTCACATGTATTTTGTGCGGTGCTGTCTGATGTGACTTCGGCCAGGTAAAAAATGCGTTGTGTTGTGCTCGTGTGTGCAGCTTCAGTGCTAGTTTAGCAGGGCCCTCCTTCGACCAAGCAGACAGATACATGGCCGACAAATGTTGCATGGTGAAAAATTTAGCCTGTTGAGTATTAGGTAGGCCTATACAAAATATAAAAGTGAACATGCAGGTTGATGTCAACAAAATAGATTATTTGTCTGGCATTAGTCTATGTCAAATATTTATTTTTGTTATGATTCACAATCAGTGAATCACATTCACACTTCAGCAGTAGGGGCGCTGGTCCGAGAATAAGGATCGTCTTCATAAACGAGGATCGTCTTCGTAAACACAGATCGATGCGTCCTCAAAAATAAGGACCCTCTGCATTTTCGCAGACGTTTCATATTTTTGATCGGCGCATTGGCGATGCAAAAAACGGATTCTGCAATGATTTTCTTGAATCATTTTGCATTGACTTTGTACAGAGATCTTCACATTATGAGCAATAAATCCTTGGGAAGACGGACAACCCATAAAAGTAGACGGTGAACTAGGGTTATTTTCCCCTGGGGAATCCATTTTTGGCATCGCCAGCAGGCCGTTCTGTAACATGAAACCCCCAGAGCGCCGATGAAAAAAAACGTCCTCGAAAATGCAGACAACCCTTATTTTTGAGGGCGCATTTTGTCTGCGTTTATGAGGATATCCTTGTTTATGAGGACGATCCTCATTCTTAGACCAGCGCCCCTACTGTTCAGAAGTTCAGAGCTACCAAGTACCATTGTGTCACGCATCATGCGTGACGTAGGGTCTGAAAATGCTCTCCCGCACGACTCGTGCGGGCAATTTCGAAAAACGCTTAACTTACGTTATACCCGTGCTCGCGTGCCGAGTCATGAATATGTCGCGCATAGCAGATCTTTGAATTTTGGCGTCTCTGATATTGCCTTATTGGTTGGTTGGTCCTCCAAATTACTCGTCTGAGTTTTACGAATGCAGAATCTGCACCATTTTCCTTCAAAATTCTAGGCCTAGACTCTAGGACTGTTTATTTTCTGTGCATCAAAAACATAAATGTCCTATCGCACATGCTTTGTCTTTGATGGCCAGTAGATATACGGTGAGACACACACATGATCGCTCCATTGTGATGTCAGTTTCTGAATTAAAAGAGTAGATTTTGGCCAGTTTCCATGTGGGGAGCTCCATTCATTGATATCATTTTACGAAATCATCATTGGTGATACTAGGTACAAGTTCGCTGACATCCCATTGAAATGCATGTTAGATATAATACACACATTTGGAATGAAATTGAATGTTGATTAACTTTTATTTAAGACGGTTTTGTGAAACGATGCCCATGCCAATTATCCTGGCTCAAGCCTCTGGAGAGTCTGGGTTTTTCCTCAGCGCTTGGTGGCAAAGTCTCTATTTTAAAGACTTTACTTAGACCTCTAGCACAATGAAAATGAGTCAGATCTGATATTAATTGTCATGGCAACATTTTATTTTTCAGGGTTTTTCTCAGTTTTTTGGGGGGTTGAGATTTTTTTTCTTTTTTTTTTTTGTTACAAAAAATGTACTTCAATGGTATTGATATAAAGTGAAAATAAATATGGAACAAATAGTTCAAAAATTGGGTTTCCCTTTCGAGCCAAAATTAAAAAAACCCTGTCCTATACTGTCCATGGTATTTGAATCTATTAACAGACTTAAAATCAAAATGGACGTAGTCGCATAGAGTTTACCTGTTAACAATTTTACAGACATGTGTATCCAAATTTTCTGTTCGGCTTTTCAAATTGAAGTAGATATGCCATGTTTGTTTTGTTTTAATGAATGGCACCTTTGCTCAGCGAAGGTTCTACACTTCGCTCTGTGTTATTAAGATACAGAAGTGTGAACCATATTAAAATTTATGTCATAAAATACCTGCTCTTGTATACCACCTCGCAACTTAATGAAGCCTCAATGTTAATGGTATTAGCAGGTAACTTACTTTCAAAATGGATGTTCTCTAATTTTGATGAACCCATTTTCGACGGGAACTAAGTGGTTCCGGGTTTTAGCCTATGGAAATGGGACAATTCAGGAGTCGATGTGTTAATATAATATTTCCTTTTATTTCCTTATGCCAGTGAAGCAAAGCTGTTCCCTAAAAGACTGCCGATCATACTGTCATCGTAGGAGATCTGTTTTGTGCGGTAACTAGCGAGGACGAAGGTCCCATCATGCAGGAGTTCAGGCATTTTGATCCACAGAAGCTGGAGCTGCTGGAAGCCCGCATCAAAGGCAACCGTTCTCAGCAGCAACCCATCATGATAGCTGATGATTCCAATCATAGCACCAGCACTTGTAGCCGCGGCTCACCCAGTGATGATTTAGAGGTACGTACGTGTAGGCACTCGTCAAATAACCTAACCCTGCTCCTAAACCAATATAGGCATGGTGAAACTCAGACCCATTGATTAGGAGAAATTGACCAACCTGGTTTGAGTATGGCAAGAACTGCTTTGTAGGGCAAGTACAAAATAAAAGAACATATGCTATGGTATGTCCAACTGAGACATAGGGTGCGTTTATTCACCAAATTTTTGCCTAGAATCAGGTTTCTCAAACGTCTTTCAGGCAAATTTTGAAGGTGATAAACGCAAAGCCTTTTTTAAACGTCTTTAGGTATGGGCATTTCTAAAGACGCAAAAAGGTGTGTTTTGAATATGACATACAGCCAGAATCACGATTCTGAGACATGATAAACGCAAAGCTGTTTTGAACCCCACGTACAAATCGGACCTTTCCCGGCTAATTTCCGGTCAGCGAAATAGTGCGCACTATGTGCTATGCCCTAGTTGACCTCCGAACAACTCTCTGCTTCCCGGGTCAAACGGTGCAAAGCAGCTGCGCAGAGACGAGGCCTTTATTTTGAATCGTAAAGAGACGATAAACACGACATCCCAAAAATCACATTCATATAGTGGGGTTCGATATGTACATATCTAGTGGCAAGACCCGATAAACGCACCCAAAGTTAGCCAAACTCTACATACAGGTACATGTGAAACGTATAATATAGCTATCCTCTACTGCTCTTCTACTGCCAACAACAATCAACAAATGCAGTCCTCCTGTCCGCAAGTAGAGAGCAGCAAACGACCAGATTTAATTTGTCCTTCCTCAAATGAAAAAAGTCTTAGATGTAATGCTCTAAATGTAAAATCTTCTGTGATGGTTTAGTTGATCTTAGGGTAATCCACAATGGGTTTATAGATGTAGCAGTGGAAGGTATGAATCTTCCTCTTTAGAGGAATGGAATTTTGTTTATGGAGCACCCTGGACCTACGGTAGGAAGTCCATACGTTTAGTGTTCCAGGCCTCCAGCGACATTTGCTTTACGCTCTACTTCATCAAAAATAGGTTTAGGAGCTGAGGTTGCAATTCAATATAAGATTAAGCTTAGAGTTCTAAGATGTCATATGGGGTTCATTGTTTGAAGTCAAAGAAAATGTGATTGCTCGGAATTCCTTGTCTGAATAAGGAATTTGTTGGCAAATCATTCATTGATATTAGTATGACATTGTATGATATCTGTGATTCATACAAAGTTTGTTTCGGAGTCGGTAGAATAGCCCGAAATGAGAAAATGATCAGTTCACAAAATCAATGAAAATAATGGTTTCTATGGCCCAGAGGCCTATTAATACTTGACTATGTGCAGTGATGTGTAAAAGAGTGTAGTACAAGTCAGGTGCCTAGGGAAAAAATTAATATTTATTTTTCGGGGGCTACTTTTCAAGCTTGCCTGCATAAAAATTACATTCTAAAATTTGTTTTTCATTGAACTCTATGCAAATTTATGGGGGCTCTTTTCTAATTTTCGGGGGCTCTTTTGGCCATTTCGGGGGCAAATTCGCCCTGAGCCCCCGTGAATTTTTTTCACTGCAGGTGCCGCGGCAACTAGCATATTTTAAATCAACTCCTACAAAATAGTTGTAGGGAAATATCTCGATCTGTAACTTAGGAATTTCATATGACTTGTCTTAAGATTGAAGTATTATCATCTGCAGATTGTCATTTATTACAACGATTCTGATTTCATTTTTACAGGTCATGCAGGCAGAAACCCCAGAAAAGGAGAGAAAGAAGAGGAAAAGAAAAGGACAAGGACAAGATATTGATCCATCAGGTAATATTGCAATTCTACAATTACAATGATTTATAGAGATGCATGAATATTGTTTGTACAACAGCTCTGACTCATCGTACAAGTGTATTTCACAATACATTAATATACTGGAGAAAATTCCAGTGCATGTAAAGAGAAAACAAGGACATTTAATAAGTGCACGTGAGTATAATGAGGCCACACGCTAAAACGTTCTGTGAATTCTGCTATTTATACATGAATGTGAGCTCTACTTATGATTTCACTTTCACTGTGTTAAATAAAAGTATATTGCACGTGTGAATTCCTTGCAGGACACTTGTATAAGGATCTAATTATCTAAGGGCATACCCTGGTATTGTAAAAGTGAATAATATCCTGAATTAAAATCTTTTGGTGATGTCTTGGTAGACTGATGATGATCATTTACTCCGGTTCTAATTAGGGAATGAAAGTAACATATTCAAACTTCAAATGTATCTGTTTTGAGTTCTTTGTGTAATACTTCAGTAACATCTATGTTCTAATGTGAAGTGCAAAGTTAGAAATAATTTGTACAATACACTAATTTGTGTTTGTTGTTGTTGTTAGCGTAGTTAATGTACCGATAACTACTGGATAAAGATTATATTATATCTATTTTATTTCATTTTCTCCTAATTTCAGGTCCAAAGAAGATTAGTGAATATTTCAAGGTAAGTAATCCAGTGTCAACCCAATGTTCATCAAACAGCTTGCTACCTGGTTAATTAATTTTTGCCATTCGCTTTCCATAGGCAACTAGTTTTTGTCTCGCCTGCGTAGCAAAAAAGGGAGACATAGGCGCCGCTTTTCCGGTGACAGCGGCGGCGTCAACATCAAAAACTTAACCTAAGGTTAAGTTTTTGAATTTTTAGTATAATTTTGAAAGTATAAGTTCTCATTCAATGAAACTTGGACCAAAGGGATATTAAGTATTCCCAATCATGTGAGCAGAATTTCAGGTCACAAAATCAAGGTCAAAGGTCATTTCAGGTCAACAGACTTAGACTTTGTTGTGGCATCATCATCGAAAACTTAACCTAAGGTTAAGTTTTTGAATTTTTAGTATAATTTTGAAAGTATAAGTTCTCATTCAATGAAACTTGGACCAAAGGGTTATCAAGTTTTCCCAATCATGTGAGCAGAATTTCAGGTCACAAAATCAAGGTCAAAGGTCATTTCAGGTCAACAGACTTAGACTATGTTGTGGCATCATCATCGAAAACTTAACCTCAGATTAAGTTTTTGAATTTTCAATATAATTTTGAAAGTATAAGTTCTTATTCAATGAAACTTACACTACAGGGTTATCAAGTATCCCCAATCATGTGAGTAGAATTTCAGGTCACTAAATTAAGGTCAAAGGTCATTTCAGGTCAACAAACTTAGACTCTTTTGTGGCATCAACATCAAGATTTTGAAATTTTAGCATAATTTCAAAAGTGTTTGTTCAAATTTTATGAAACTGGTACACAAGGGTTATCAAGTATCACAAATCTTAAGACGCAAATCCCAGGTCACAGAGTCAAGGTCAATTATTAATCTTGGTACAAATTATAGTTAATAATTCTTCCGATGACTCTTGGTCAATATTCACTTCAAAATGCTGATTATATTTAGAGGATTTCATTGGGGAGGGGGGGGGGGGGGGGTAGGGCCTGCTAATGGGCCACCCTGCCTATGAATAATGTCCCACCCTCCATTTTTCATCATACTGAATTGCGTAATGCAGGCGAGAGCGTTTCCCTTGTTTTTTCTTTTTCTCTGTATCTCATTATTAGATAAACAACTGTTTTTCCATGTTGTCATAGTATTAATAAATTGATCTGACAGGTCATACTAATCACTGTCAATCGATGTACTTTGAATTTCCAGGCAGCAACATCATTAAGTCCAGGAAGAACCAGTCTTGGAATAGGTATCTTACCCAAGTCACCTCCACCCAGCGCATATCCTAGTGTAAGTTATCTTATCTCTGTCTCCAAGGAATTTTACCAGCTTTAATAAAAACAATCATAATAGCTACATTCATATTGGGCATGTATCTATTTTAAAAGATACCTAAGGAGCCTAAAAACTAGTATTATCACCCTGGCTTTAACACACCTGCCCCTGCATGTATTCCTACGTGATACCGATTTACTACACCTGGTTAGAGGGTGGCAGATGTAGATTAATATCTTGCCAGAGGACATTTGTGCTGTAGCGGGACTCAAACCGACGATCCTTGTGATCCACAATCCTGTGACGTATCCACAAGAACATGACACCTCTATTTCCTCTACAAGCAATATTATTTATATTTGTTTCACTGGAAGAAAGTTTAAGTGATAGTTAAACAAATTAAGTGTATATATAAAGTTAAACTGTAGTGTGAAACTTGTGAATGTGGACCACTGGAGATATTTTCCTAAGTTTTTATAAAACTGGTTTATCAATAACGAGTTATAATAACTGCTAAGCTACTGAAATTGTGGCATTGATTGGCAGAGAGAAAATTTCCATAGAAATTTAACATTTGTTATTGATAACCGTTTTTATGAAAAGAGACCCCGGTTTTTGAGCAGCCAAATAGACAGTGTCGAACATTTGTGACTTGTTATAATTTTCATGTTGATAGTGAGTCAATGACTTGCATATATCTGTATTCATACAATGACAATCGAAAGTCATCATGAGTCATTACGAGTCATCACTTGGCTATAAATTATGGACAAGTTCTCAGATATATTCATATTACATGGCATTGTTTTATGTTATTTATACATGTACATTTAGTCATGTCAGTGTATTGTTAATAACACCTTTGAAAATTTACTCCGAGTATAGTAGAGATTTTGAAATTAGGCCATTAACATTCAAATAAATGTCATGTTCAAATATTTCAGGAATGACATATTACATGAATGTGCTGTAACTGCCTGCTTAATCAAAATTTTGAGTATCATACTTCCAAGTTGCAGGTACGGTGTATAAAATTTAGGATGCACATGCGGATTTCATTTATGAGTCGAGGAATGTACAAGCGTGCAGTAATAAATGTGATTGTTTTATTTACTTTTGTTATGTGCATCTACAGCAAATTATGTCTTCACCATGTGGTAACAGCAATGACTACATCTCCCACTCGTCACAATCACCAAAGCCAGCAAGACCAAGGTTTTCAGATAGCAGCTCTATATCAACTCAGGTATACAAGATAAACTGTAACTTAAAGTTGTCTGTACTCGTTTGGCTAGGAGGGATTAGACCACCCAGGGTGGTCACTGACAGGTGGCTATCTCATCAACTCGGCTCTCAATTAATATAAGAAAAAGAGGATCATGGGGGACCAATGGTCACCGATTAGGCATTGTTTTCTATATAGAGGGAGCAAGTAGCTACAAGTAGTACAGTGGGGCTTCAAGATATCAGCATTATGATAAAGACATATATGGGTATGAGTTGCCAAGAGGGATAGCCTGTCATATGATATGACTTGCAACATACATATGTAGCCCTCTGATAAAGTCAAAGGCATGTTTGACAAATGAAAGTTGACGGTAATAATTAATAAATGAATAGTACTGGTAATAATCAGAGTATTGCCCATGAAAGATCATTGCAAATAGAAGTCAGGATAGGTGGAAAAAAGGGAAGATGGAAAAAAAGGTGAAGCCCCCCACCGCATCATATGCAGCCTGATATCTTTAGCTGTATCATTCTTTGTAATTCTCTACCATGAGAAAGTATGTCAGTTATGTCTTTGTAGGAAAAATACAGAGAATAATGCACATGAAAATATATATCATATTAAGTTGATGAATTTGCACTTTGTACTTAGAAATGTTTTTATTATTTCATATTACATGATGGTCAGTTCCTATTCCAACAGATAGGCTGTATTTTAGTTAATTTCTATGAAAAGATTTACATTCTTTGTCTTGAAGTTGATAACTAGTGTGGCATTATGTAGTGATCCCATCCTGTGTTATTTTTAATTTGTGTCACACGTTGCATGGATCATTTTTCTTTCAGACTGACATGAGTTTACAAGATTTGGAACTGAAAGAAAGACAGCATCAATCCCACATGAGGGTGAAGGAGGAGACGATAGAAACACTTAATAGTGTAAGTAAACGGCACATCACATGTTAACAGTTATGGTCATGCGATTGAATTGTGAAAGAAACGTTGTGGAATCGACCAGAAAGGGTTGGTCATCTAGCATATAAGTATTGTTGTATAGTGCAAGGTTCTCGAATGATCGAAATGATCAGAAATTTGGCCCAGTCTTGGTAAAGTTACTAGCACTGTACACAGAAAGAAGTGTATGGGACGACACAAACATGTGGCATAAAAATGTGGGCCTCACTCGTCATATTTAGAATATGAAGGCGTTTGAAGAGCAGTGCTTTTCAGGGAACATTTTCTCTCTGTTGTTTTTCCACACTTGCATAATAACAATGATAACGCTTACAAATTATTTTTCACCTCTCCCCAGAACTCTACCTTCTCTGTAACTCTTTCATTCTTATGTTTAAACAACCTTGATAGCAAACCACTCAAGAAAACATGAAAATCATAATATAAGATATTAATAAAAAATAATTATATACTCTCCATTCTATATTTTGAGTAGTGTCTCAAGGGTGAAGGTTCTGGAAGACATACGTGATATGCTTGCCTCTGACCAAGTTATCCATCACTATGTCACAATCCACTTAAAAAATTGCCAATTTGAAATTTGCATAGCTGTAATATCATATGTCAGACATTCTGTTGGTCTAATTTATTTCAAACTTTTTTCATTCTTTTTCTCTGATTTTACAAGAGTTGGATTGCCCTTTAACCCTTACTGTACTGGGCTATTTTTAGCACCACGTGACTTGGGGGGGGGGGGGCCCTATGATCTCGGCCATTGAAAGTCTGATAAACGCGAAAATTTGCATGTTTGTAGATATTTACGTAAGGGACAACAAGATGGTATAATTAGTTTTTGTCTCGCCTGCGTAGTAAAAAGCGAGACATAGGCGCCGCTTTTCCAGCGGCGGCGCCTTAATTTTTAAAGTATAAGTTCTTATTCAATGAAACTTTGACTATAGGGGAATCAAGTATCTCTAATCATGTGAGTAGAATTTCAGATCACAAAGTCAAGGTCAAAGGTCGTTTCAGGTCAACAGACTTGGACTATGTTGTAGCATCATCATTGAAAACTTAACCTGAGGTAAAGTTTTTGAATTTTTGATATAATTTTGAAAGTATAAGTTTTTAGTCAATGAAACTTGGACTATAGGGTTATCAAGTCTCCCCAATCATGTGAGTAGAATTTCAGGTCACTAAATTAAGGTCAAAGGTCATTTAAGGTCAACAAACTTAGACTTTGTTGTGGCATCAACATCAAGATTTTCAAAATGCTCCTTCTTTGTTATTTTTCAACCGATTTCGATTCTGATTGTTTCATATGATAGGGCTAGGAGGGGGATTTAAAATATCTACACAGAATCGTGAAATGCATTATCTATGCTAATTTATGCAAATTTATTCGAAATCACAAAAAAGGCTTGTTCTCCTTCATTTCTTGATCGATTTTGATTTGGTTTGCTTTATATCGTATAGCTAACTTTGGTACACTAAACTTGTACACAGAATTTAGAAATTGTTCTCCATTAATTAATTATGGTAATTTATGCAAATTTATTCCAAAAATAACAAAAATTGCTTTTTTTCCCTCATTTCTTGAACGATTTTTAATTGGTTTGCCTTATCTGGTAGAGGTAAATTAGGAACACTAAACTTCTACACAGAATTGTGAGATTTTGCTCCATTGATTATTTATGGTACTTTATGCAAATAAAATTAGATTATGTCCCTTCCAGGGCATCAAATTTTTATTTTTTTAACAGTTCAAAAGTGTACCACATAAAATTTACGATATTTGTTGTTGCGAGACGCAGATGAGCGCTACGTCATTGACGTTCTGGTTTATCATATTGAATTGCGTTATGCAGGCGAGACCGCCGAGAGCGTTTCCCTTGTTTCCTAATATGCAAGTTTTTGTTGTTATAGCCTAATTTATTACGCAAAATGCTAATTTTATGCAGTTTACAGAAAACTCTACATATTTGTCTGTAGACTTGTGAAGAATGTTGAAAATGTATTAATAAACGTTTCCTTCATCTCAAATTCATGAGGTTACATTATTTTTATGATATTCAAAAATGCATAGGTTAATTTGCATAAATTTGCATAAATTGTAGCATATTTTTGATGACATGCGCATACTTATTGTTATGTAACACCTTACAGGTATATCCGATTTTGACGAAAATGGTATCAAAATGTGCGCAAGACTTGAGGGAAAAAAGTCATGAAACGGCAATTCAAAATTCCAAGTGGTTGCGGCACAATCTCCGAAAATGTCGAGGGGGGAGGGAGGGGGGGGGGCCTCCCAGGCCCCCCAGTACAGTAAGGGTTAAATAAGGTTTGAATGCGAGTATGTAGTTCATAAGAGGTGAACGGTTCATTTACACAATCACCAGGATTATGACCAACAGGCCTTATGCAATGCCTATCTCCTATCTCCCCCCCCCCCCCCCCCCCCCCATATTGTGAAGTCTTTATTGTACATTTCTCTCACCCAGAGACTAGGCAGGGGGTATTCCTTGATGGGACTATGGCTTTGCTGTTTGCAGACTTGTACACCTATCAATGGTATTTCCACCAAGTCTGGTGTCAGCAATTTAAGACCTTCTGCACATGGAAACTAACTACCATCGCCCTTCTATTGCAGATTTAATTATCAAAACTTTCCATTTTGTTTGTTTGTAATCCTTTCTCCAGACAACTCAGGATTTACAACGGAGGTTAGACAGTGCTCAGAAACTCCTAGATAAGTTCAAGGAACAGTCAAAGAGAAGTACAGAAAAGGTTAAACAACTGCTTATAGAAAAGGTAATAAGATTATTTATGTAATAATTTAGAATGTTTTGAAAGATAACCGAAAACTGTCCATGGATGTTGTTGAAAGTATTTTTCTCATGAATCTTCTCAATTGAAGATTTTGGTGCTCTATAAATCAGAATAGAGGGTCATGAACCCAGCAGAAGAACCAATTCACGCTTTATCAGTCACCGACAGTGGACTTCATTGTACGACTGACGGTTCTTGCATAATGCATGCACCCTCCACCCATTTCCAAAAATCCACCTCATTGGAAAAATTTGTCATAAACTCTGAATCCTAAAATTCTCTAAGAGTCTCTTGCAGTTGGGACACCAAGTTTCACTGCTTGTGAACTTCTCAACACATTAATTGGTAACTCCTTAAAGTCCGGTGTATCGGACCAATGATCAAAGAAGCAGACGAGAGGAGGTGTTTGAACTTGTAGTAATCAAACTTTTTCCTTGATCCACTCCACCATCACCAGGCCGCAACTGAAAACAAACAAGCACGAACCAAGAGCATGGAGGATCGTCTAAGACTAGGACAGTTCACTACTCAAAGACAAGGGGCCAAATTTGTTGAAACCTGGAACGATGGCTATGCATTCACTGATCTTGTCAAGTAAGCAGTCGTAGCTCTCAGTTATGCAGTAGTTCTTTTTTTTTATGCCTCCGTTACGAAGTAGCCGGAGGCATTATGTTTTCGGGTTGTCCGTCCGTCCGTACGTCCCGTTCTCGTGATCGCGTTATCTGAAGAACCGATTGATGGATTCCTGCCAAACTTTGGTCATGTATGTATCTTGCTGAGCCGATGAATTGATTAGATTTTGGGGTCACGAGGTCAAAGGTCAAAGGTCAGGGCTCATTATGTATGCAAAAACAGCTCGTGATCGCGTTATCTGAAGAACCGATTGATGGATTCCTGCCAAACTTAGGTCATGTATGTATCTTGCAGAGACGATGAACTGATTAGATTTTGGGGTCACGAGGTCAAAGGTCAAAGGTCACAGGGCTCATTATGTATGCTGAAACAGCTTGTGATCGCATTATCATTAGAACAGATTGATGGATTCCTCCCAAACTTAGATCATGTATGTATCTTGCAGAGCCAATGAACTGAGTAGATTCTTGGGTCATGAGGTCAAAGGTCAAAGGTCATGGGCTCATTATGTATGCAAAAATAGCTTGTGAACGCATTCTCATTAGAACTGACAGATGGATTACTATTTAACTCGGGACATCTTGCAGAGCCAATGAACTGAGTAGATGTTAGGGTCATGTGGTCAAAGATCAAAGGGTCATATATGTATATGAGAAATTGCTTGTAATCACGATATTCTGAGAACCTGTTAATGGATTACAATTGAACTTGAATTTGAACAATTTCTTCTGTTTTGGTTTGTAAAATTGCTCTATGACGGAGGCATCATTTCGACTGCGCGCAGTCGAAGTTCCATCTAGTTTTCTTAATAATTGATTCTTATTGAGCGCTACTACAGACAAACTGATCAGAGCGCTATTACAACAGAAAAAAAAACATACAAATCTTAACAATCAAACAAGGATAATATTGATAATGTAAACGATGGTTGTATTCTTATGTTTGGTGGTATGTTTCAAAGCCGATCCCCAAAATTGTCAGATTTTATATGAGACATCTTAAACCTGTGCTATATTTTCCCCCAGTGTTTTACAAGAAATTTAACAGGGTCCCATGTCAAACTGAGATGTGATTGATCCAAACTGACGGCAACTCAACTTAATGTTGATACCGATAACAACTCTCTACATAAAAATGGGCTATTGTAACTTCCGTAACTTTGCAATAAATTCAGTAACATTATATAGCAAATGCTGTGCAATTTAGATTCCAGGCTCGGGCCAATCAACAAAATTGTTTACCTGGCAAGAAACTTGCAAAAATCTGGAGTTAAAGTTTAATCACTTAATCGTTCATTCACAAATTGCGCAAAAGTGACTTCATAGTAAGTTATGGATCACCCAAACTTATTAAGTTTAATGATCTGACTTTGCATCTGTATTCCCATACCAGGCGCCAGGAGAAAATTGCCAAAGAAAGGGAGGAACTGGACCAGCAAAGGAAGTCCCTCATGAAGAGGAAACCGCCGAATAGTCCTCATCCTAGTTCCAAGTCCAGGCCCAAACAGAACGGTCCTAATGACGAAGGGTTTGCCAAACCTCTCCCAGAGTACATGAATCATGCAGAGTTCTATGAGAGAGATGAGATCACAAAATTAAGACAAGCCGCATTTAAGAAGGTATGTTTGTTAGTCATTCTCTAAAACAAGGTTGGTTTGATTTGATTTGATTTGATTTATTTATTTCTGTTTGATTTTCTTTTTTTTTTGCATTTTTACAAATATATATAACAAACAAAACATTGCAAATTTTACACATTTCAAAAGAATATAATGTCAAATAAAGTAACTAATCGAAAACATTAAACAGGAGGGTTGACAAAGTAAGCAAAGCTTAATAGCATGACTACCCTCAAAGGATACATAATGATACGAATATGGTGGAACGAATATTGGTGAAAGGGGAAAGAGAGAGAGAGAGAAAAAAAAAGAGAAAAAAAGAAAGAGGGGAGGGGGTGTACATAAAGATTCACAGATGTATGTGGTACAATGTAGTTAGATTTCAATTTGAAATATGGAGATAAAAAATAGTAAAAAAGAAGATGCACATTTGAATATTGGGTGGCCAACTTTGGATATATTATAGAATGAGAAGACTCACAAGGTTTCTGGACAATATGAATAGAAATGTTAACTTCTTTTGCAGGGGGTCTGTGCAGATGGACTCCCAGTTTAAGTTCTGAGTCGGAGGGTTCAGAGTTCAAATTTTGGGGTTATATTTACTAGGTACCTGTTAGTGAGTGTTGAATATTGCAATGTATTGTGATAGAAACAGCCTTGGAGTAATCCTGAATTGTTTATCATGCTGTATATTGGTGGTTTGGATCATCATAATGTCAAGAAAACGTCAAAACATGCTGGAAATGACATTCACTCAAATAATTACTCAACTTTCGGTCTAGACCGCTTCAACTGTCCTTGAAGACAATTCCTCTCCTACAACTTCTTCCTCTATGGTTTTCATTCATGCAGGAGGAATCAGATCTACAGGGAGAACTGGAGAAGCTAGAACGAGAACGGAATCTTCACATACGAGAGCTGAAACGTATTCACAACGAGGACCAGTCCACCTTTAAAAACCACAAGGTTCTCAACGATCGCTATCTACTATTAAGACTCCTAGGCAAGGGAGGCTTTAGTGAAGTGTACAAGGTGAGCACTTAGAAATACAATGAAAACAATATTATAAGATGGGTAGAAGATTCCCTGCAATCTGATGGGTCAATTACCATGTAGAATTTGTTTACAGGATGCACGCGATATCAACACGATATATATAATATTGATATCAACTTTTTTTTATATGAAAAATAAATAAATTCAAAGGTAACTTGTGCACACAATTCCTACTGACGCACTCAAACCTGTGCATAATTTGTATACTATACAACACCACACCGCACCATACCATACCACAGTAGTGGGATATGTTTAGTGGTCTTTCAGTAATTGTATCACAAGGCTTTGCAATACTGTGACAACCGAAAGAAAGTCAAAATGCATACTACAAATGCATACTACACAGACAAACAAAAGGAAGGTCTTCAGGGACTTTTGAAAAACAAAGAGATAGTACGCTCAGAGATATCGTTCCATATGCATGGTACTGCAGAGAAAGATTTGTCTCTTGTACTGGTACTTTGTAAACTGTACTATGATGAATACGCAGCCTTTTTTTTCTTTCGGGGGGGGGGGGGGGGGGGTGGGGGTGGGGTTGGGAGGGAGGTTTGAGATTAGATAGTGCCCCCCCCCCCCTTCATTAAGCTCAGTCTAGAGTTTAGTCCCACTCACTTTAGTTGAGATCTGGTGTTGCCTTGGTAAACTCTACTTTCATATACTGTGCTTAAACAATTCATTTGCAGTAAACTTAATCAGTAGAAGACAGCTTTCACCTCCACGAATATTCTACTATGAATTGCCAATATTCACTTGCATATTGTTGGATTAATATTTAATGTAATATAACACATGTGTATTTGTATTGTTTTACACAGGGATATGACCTGAAGGACCATAGAGATGTCGCATGTAAGATTCATCAATTAAGCAAGGAATGGAAGGAAGATAAAAAGGCTAATTATATCAAGTGAGTATGAGCTCTGGAGAATTATATACATGTAGCTGGGTGTGTTTAGACCATGGGAACAGTTTTAGATAGCTATGACAAACTTTACATTCATACTATATGGGGGGAAAAGACAAAAAATGAAATCTTAAAATGGTTGAATATTTGACAGTTCCCCTTGTACCCTTCACTTGCAGTATTTTCCCCAAGTGCATTTACGAAATTCACTCAGAAAACAATGAAATACCAAAGATGTAATATGTCATTCATACCACTGAATTATAATACATGTAGGCCCTTTGAAACAGAAGAAGATATTTGTGCTCTGCTATCAGTTTAACAATACATTTATTTTGATAGTAAGCTTCTTGTATTGTTGAAAGTTTCTTTGTGAATGTTTTTTCTGAGCTATGCCTCTGTTTCAAGCGTTGATAACATAGATCCTCCCAAACTGTCTTTTGACCGTTTTAGTACTTCCTGGACTCAGGAACTATCAAAACTAGCTTCATGTTAGTCAAATACGCAGTTCTATAAGTTTGTGTTTTTCTATGTGTTTGGTTTTTGGCATAGTCATCATCTTTGCTGGTTGAAACCATCAGTTCAGCATTTGGAGACATGTGTGTATCTTCTGCTTCAGTCAGTTTACTTTATTTCAGTAGGCAAATATGTTTCATAAAATTACATTTACTATTATATTGTTATGTGATAACCTGTTTCAATCCACATATATGTTTTTGTATTGCATTAATCACTTGTCAAACCTGAATGAAAATACACATAGATGCATTGCCGGCCTACCTTTTAGTTGTATTCAAATCATTTGAAAAGCTGTATTTCATGAAATCTCATTGCATATATATTTAAATGTCTAATTGTCTTATATTTTTTTGCAGACATGCTTTAAGGGAGTACGAAATCCACAAGAGTTTGGATCATGCGAGGGTTGTCAAGCTATATGATGTCTTCGAGATTGATGCAAACTCGTAAGTAGCTAATACTAGTCACTATGAACATTACTGACAAAGAAAGAGGACAAAATATACAGTTCCTCATTCTACCCTCAACAATTGCTGTGGTAGACAAAGGACCATCCCTTCACTGCTATTATGTAAAAATGTGTAGAACAGGTGAATATGCATGTGACACCTGTTCTACACATGTTTACATAATAGCAGTGAAGGGATGTTCCTTTGTCTACCACAGTAATTGTTGAGGGTAGAATGAGGAACTGTATATTTTGTCCTCTTTCTTTGTCCGTCATGTTCATAGTGAGTGTAAACCAGGTGTTCATGACAGCAATTTACGAGCTTGTATACTCTGCAAATAATACGTTCTTAACTATTGATCAAATTATTTGACCGCTGGTCCACCCGTAGTGTATAAAACATGCTTGCTTACAATATATTTTATCACCTGACGGAGTGTTGCAGCGGTGCATAAAACGTCGTAATCTTTTAGATCCCTTGTTGACCATACATTGCGAGACAAACGAATGTCACTAGCGATATTATTCTTGATAATACGTTCTTGTCAAGAAAAGATATAAGATTTACAGAGAGGAATAACACCTTTTTCTTTAATACCAGACTTGGAAGAGCTCACTTTATAGATAAAAGCCTGTTTTATTATTGCATGTAATTCTCACAATATCATATGTAATCTCAGTAGTGACACTGTTGGTTTTCTTGGACCAATTTATACTCTGCTCTGTTCTAGAAATCTCTCTCAGTAAGATTCCAATAATGAAGTTGTTGTTTCTCTCCTACCACTTTGTTATAGATTCTGCACTGTTTTAGAATTCTGTCCTGGCAACGACCTGGACTTCCACCTGAAGCAGCACAAGCTGATGGTTGAGAGAGAGGCGCGTTGTATCATCATGCAAGTAGTTAGCGCCCTCAAGTATCTGAATGAGAGGAAGCCACCCATCATTCACTACGATCTCAAACCAGGTAATAATCTTAAAGGCGGTCTGTACTAGTTTGGCTAGGAGGGATTAGACCACCCAGGAAGGTCACCGACAGGTGGCTATCATTAAATCAGCTCTCAATTAACATAAGAAAAAGAGGATCATTAGGCCTGTCTTCACTAGATCGAGATTGCCAAATATCCCTCTATTTGAACTATCCCGATCGCAAACTATCCAGCTAATTTGCGTCTTCATTAGCCCGAAGTTGCAATTAGAGGGATATTTGGTAAGGGTTGTCATCCCAAGATATCTTGGGATAATTTGCAAAATATCCCACTATTTGGCAAAATATCCAGCACTTTGCGCGAATGCTGTGCAAAATATCTTGAGCTAATTTCTCAAGGTTGCGTTTTAAGTTTCGAGGTTGAATCTCGAGCTGATGAAGACGCGATTTGTAACTTCGGGAGTATTTTCAAAATCTGAAATAGCGGGCTATTTGGCAATCTCGAGACGATGAAGACGCGTCTATGGGGGACCATGATCATAGGAAGTTCATACAATCCAACCTCTGGAGCCCTTGCGATGAGTATGGTGACGAGGAAGGGAGGATAATAATAAAAGTGATTATTACGCTGTTCAGCTATGATATTGATGGCTTTGATGATGATGATGATACGGTGGTGGTGGGGATTCATTATATTATGGATGATGATGGTGATGATTTTGATAATGTTGACGATGATGCTGAAACACAATTTTACTATCTTCCAGGTAATATTCTACTATGTCATTCAACCTACGGTGCCATCAAGCTAACTGATTTTGAACTTTCCAAGATGATAATAGATAATTGAAACCAATATTGCTTTATCTCTTCCAGGCAATATTCTACTATGTCATTGTTCAAAATGCAGTGCCATCGAGCTAAACGATTTTGGACCTTCCAAGATGATGGATGACGAATGTGAATAATAATGAAAATCCCATTCTACTATCTTCCGGGCCACATTCTTTTATGTCATGGTTAAAAATGCGGTGCCATTAAGCTAAAATTTGGACTTTCCAAGATGATAGTTGATAATTGAAACCGATATTGCTTTTTATCTTCCAGGCACTATATTCTACTATGTCATGGTTAAACATGTGGTGTCATTAAGCTATTAACCAAATTTCGACTTTTCAAGATGATAATAGATACATGTAATTGAAACCAATATTGCTTTTTATCTTCCAGGCAATATTCTTCTATGTCATGGTTCAACATGCGGTGCCATCAAGCTAACTGACTTTGGACTTTCCAAGGTGATGGACGATGAGCATTTCAACTCACAGGAAGGGGGTATGGACCTGACCTCGCAGGGTGCAGGAACATACTGGTAAGCCAACAACCCGTCCCTCGGGTAGGTCGTTAAATGGAGGCCCAGTGTAGAGGAGAGTCACCACCTTTGCACGTAAAGAACCCATTGCACTATTCATATAAGAGTAAGGGGCAACCCCGGTGTAGTGGTCCACCTGTACACCCCAGTATAGTACGACAATACTCTGTAAAGAAGTATGTACTCTAATTGAAGAAGAAGAACCCGAGAGCCACTACGCACCTTGTGCGCAAATGGATTTTTTTCTTCTTCTTATTCATTTCATTTCCACAAATGAATAAAAAGAACAATCACGAAGGCAATAACATATACACTGAAAGAGAAAATATCAAGTATGAAACGCAAACCATTTCAAATATGGTGGGATTTGCAAAGGCCTCGGGCCTATCGATGTCAAATCCTATTACGAAACATATGATATGTGTGAATGTATATGAAGAAAAGAACAGCATTCGTAATATTATTTAAAAAGTACAAGAACTAGTTATCTACTGGGATTCAAACTGTAGATGGCATTATAAATAATTTAAAATTAGCTATTGATAAAAATGATATTAAAGATAGAAGTTGCAATAGGAGGATTAGATATCATTAAAGGTATATACCAGTTCTGGTCATACGATTGCATTGTGAAAGAAACATTGTGGAATCGATCAGCAAAGGTTGATCATCTAGCATATAAGTATTGGTGTGTACTGCAAGGTTCTGGAATCATCAAAATGATAAGAAATTTGGGCCAGTCTTGGTAAAGTTACAAGCACTGTACACAGAAAGATGTATATGGGACTATGCGACTACCAAATATATCAATTAGTAGGCGGTTTCCCGGCAAAATTTGTATCCTCACGTATTAGTCAAAACACATTCTTTCACATGAATGGTAATGAGAGCTTCCATTTCATTTTTTGAGAGGGGGGCGTTTCCAAAACTGGTCTATACTTTTAATCTGTTTTTAGAAAATGTCAATTTTTCCTGATCAAGGTCAAGTGGTATGAAGAGTTATATCCTCCACACTTCTGGTTGAATATCATAAACTCATGTGATTTTATGAAATGGATAGTCTGAATTAGGTGGGAAAAAAATATACAGATCAAAATCATAGGGTGGGTGTGCCCCATTCGAGAAAAAGACATGTACTGGGAATTATTTTCATCAATCATGTCTCACTAGTATTAACACAACTGGCCACATACTGGAAACTGATTTAACTTTTTCTCCAACTAGAAGGTAGTTATATTACTACATAAATAATGATAATGACTACCAATGCTACATGTATTATGGCCAAGATTCACTATTTTTTAAGCACTAATTTTGATTTTGATTTGTCTTAAAGTACCGGTAGACACAAAATTCAAGCAATTGTAGGTTCCGCAACAAACAGAAACCCCTGGGCTCTGTTTCATATAAGGTGTCATCGATAACAAGTTCCAATAACTGTTATAAGCTACTGAAATCATGCCATTTGATTGGCTGAAAGGAAATTTGTCATATAATTTTAGCAATTGTTATTGACAACAAGTTTTTTTAAAGGGTCCTGGGGGGTGTTTCATAAATAAAGCTGTTCGTAAAGTTCGTAAAGCATGTCCATATCTCTCTCTCTCATTCTATTATGACAGGTATCTCCCTCCTGAATGCTTTGTAGTTGGTAAAGAACCTCCTAAGATTTCTTCTAAGGTGGACGTCTGGTCAACAGGTATCATCTTCTACCAATGTCTCTATGGAAAAAAGGTAATTGTAGTGTTGGATTTAAACAGCGAGCATAGATTTGCAATGGCAAATGTCACACATGACCATGCAGTCTTGTTTGAGAAGGGAAACACTTGGAGAAATCATGAACCTATTACGGATGGACATTCCACGTGATTCTTTCTTTGATCCAATGATAGTCACCGCCTTCTGATTCTGTGCATCTTAATGAGAACATTCAGCTGTTTTAACAATAATGACTGCATAAGCATTTTCGGGCATTGACAAAGGAGCAGTTTCCCTCTCTTGGGTTTTGTTTGGATGGTGTGCTCTGTAAGAGTGTGTCTCAAATAAAAACATCCCCAATGGGGAGCAGCAAAGTTGAAAAGCAGACGATTTTGGTGATACGAAATTTATTATTACTGATTCGCACACTTTTGCACGCACCAATGACCTTATAAAACAATTAGAAGGCCATGGTTTTTATAAGCCATGTGCGTTGTAATTCTCGAATATTATGAGGAAATTGGGGAAAACAGGATTTTAAATCACAAACAATCCAAATAAAACCTATCTGGTAATATCAACATGTTTTTCAAAAAGAAAACACAGTACACGGAACAACAATTACCAATTATTAACCAGAACTGCATATCAATTTCCCATGATTTAAGCAATTTATTATCTTCTACGCATGTAGATTAACATGTTTAAAATCACTATCTTGATTCTGTCCCGGCTTATTGGCGGTGACCCTCATGAGATCAAAGTGAAGAAACATTTACGGAATGTTATTGAGACGACATTGACAGAGACAATCACAATGAATTTGTTAAGAAAACGATGAATGTCCATTCGTAATAGATCCACAGAGAAATTCACCATTTTGGAACAACAATTGACTTTTAAATTCAGGAATTCACAAAAAGATAATCTTCATGAAATAATACTATCATCTTTGATTGGTGAATAAACGGGGATAAAATATTTCCTAGCGTAAAAAGTGAATTAAAAGCCCCCTTTTCGACCTGCACAAGCCAAGTTTTAGGTATGTACAAAGTCAATGCAAAATCTATTCTGTTGTCCCACATGTAGATATCGGTGTATCGAATGAGAGAAAATTGACCCAGGTACACCTACTGTCATGGTCGCGACCCATTTTACGAACAAAAATGACTCGGTCGTTTAAACCATGAATATTGGTCGATTAATCCTTACGATATCTCTCTTTTTTTTCTCTCTTTCTCATTGTAGCCATTTGGTCACAACCTATCACAAGCCTCTATCTTGGAGCAGAATACCATCCTAAGAGCAACTCAAGTCCAGTTCAGTCCAAAGCCAACGGTCAGCCAGGAAGCAAAGGTCAGTTTAATTGTTGTCTCTCTTCTTAGAGGGATTGGGTAACTTTGTCTCAGATTCTGAAACAAAATCCTGGATTTAGCTCATGCTGCAATGATAATTATAAACCTGTAGGTCAGTCAGGAACCCCATGACTTTTCATTTTTCGTTTTCCTAACACTACAGTCCTTTGGGGAAAATGAGTATGGTAAAACCGGTCACTCAAAGATTTTTCCTTTTTTGAGGCACCTCATGATCATTTTGAAGCTCAATTTTTTAGGGCTTCAATCATCTGTTAGTCTCACATTTTTAACAATACTGGGATAACTTCAGAACCATTGAAGAGATCATTTGATCAAGTTTGTATAACTATACAAGAATGAACCAATAAGATTCAGGGGTTTAGATGTCAAAGGTCAAAGAGTCATACAAGAGTTTTAAGAGAACTATGATCGTAATCAATTACTTTCTGTGATGATTTTCAGGTTGCCTGTCCATCCATCTGTTAGTCTCACGTTTATAACATTACTGTGATAAATTCAGAACCATTGAAGAGATTATTTGATCAAGTATCTATTACTATACAAGGGGTTTAAATGTCAAAGGTCAAAATACACTGTATCTCAGTGATTAATGCACAGCCAAAAACTTTTTTAAATTGTTAAAATCAGTTTTTCTTAGGAATATCAATTTGCAAAAATCATGTTGTGACATTTCCCAGCAAGAAACTTTGTGAATCTTCATCACTTGGCAAGATTTGTGAAATTTTCCGTAAAGTTCTGGTTTAACAGTAGATTAAAGGGCTATGTATGTCAAAGGTTCAAGGAACATGGTCATTGAAGTGTAACGAACCTTTGGTCAAGAATGTGATAAAGATAGCCTGGATACAGTTGGGGTTCAAGAGGAAAGATGTCAAAGGGAATATGGTCTTTGATGTATGTAACACTGGCAGGAGCATGTGAAATGTAGTGGAATACAATAGACCAGTTCATGGTTAACACATGTTCCAAATGACCCCGAAAGGTCCCACTTTGTACATTTTGAAATAATCACTCCTCCAGCGATGGAGGTGCTACTTTTCAAAGAATACTTCCACCTGTGTATCATGAAGTGCACTGCTTGTGCTTAAATGAATAATGATTGCATAACTTTCTAGAGCCAGATCCAGTATTTTGTCTACATGTATTTCACAATGACCTTTATCTGCTCATGCTCAGACTGCAACTATGAACTGGCTTATTCCAAGGTCTTAACCATAATTTGTGTATTTACCATTTTCTTGTATTAAACTGTCGTTTTCCAGGACTTCATCCGCCGGTGCCTGATGTACCGCAAGGAGGATCGGGCAGACGTGCTAGCCCTGGCCAAGGACCCCTACCTGATGCCTTCCAATAAGAAGAGCTCTGCAGCTGCTGCAGCTCATGCCTCGGCCGCAGTCAGTAGTCCCCAGAGTCACTCAAACATCAGCAATTCAGAGAACTCCACTTAATCTTCAATACCCTACCCAGGTTTCCCCATGTGTAGTTCCACTTCATGCTATGGCCAGACTGCGATCAGTATTTGAAGAAATGGTAATCGTGTCAGATATGGAGATTCAAACAGGTGGAGGGCAATTAGCCAAAAATCATAAAATTGGCTATAACTCTCAAAATGTATCTGCCACTGTAACAAATTTGGTATCAATCGAAAGAGCTTAACCAGTTCTTCACTTTGAATGCTATGGCAGTTGGAGTGAAGTACATTTAGGCAAAGTCTTCTTTAGAAATGTTTGTTGTCACCCAGTATTTGGTCCTCATTATTTCACACTAGAACAAGGTCTAGTTGGAGGAAAGGCCAACCTGGGGCCCCTTTCACAAACTCTTTTTTCAATGACAAATGACAAAAATCAGTGACAAATCTGCTGATAACCAATCAGAAGCGAGGATTTCGGTAGCTTATAACAAAGACTGTCATTTGTCACTGATGACAAGTTTTGTCGACCATTCAGACCGTCCCTCCATTGTTCAGATTTGTCCATGTTTGAATGTCTATATCAAATGCTGTTGCAATTTCTTCCATACCTGTATCGCAGTCAGATCGTTCAAGTGAGCAGTGGGCATATTATATCTAAGTAGTCGTTATACGCCATGTAGTGCACCTCTTCTGCGCTGAATATTCAGAAGCAGAACTTTGATAGGTTGGTGTCTTTTAAAAAGACCAAACTGTATCAAGAGAGCATGTATGTGGCTATTGAATCATGGTTATGTATCATGCCATGATGTTTAATAGATAGTGAAATAGTAATGGATTTATAAGTATGAAGAGATGACCTTCACATTGTTCCTAGTTTTCATGCGGGAGGACAGTTTTGCATTGTCACTTTTTGCAAAAGATGTTGATGATGAAGGTATGATGATAATGATGATACCTTCACAAAATGCGCATCTTAAGCTTTTTGGAAAGAATTAAGGTGAGCCAAGCTGTGGATGGATAGTGGAGTTGTTTATGTAATCCTATGTACTTGTCACAATCAAGGTCCGCATTTGAATTCTTTATTTCATTCTTTGTAGTCGATACTTACATGGGTATGTTTATGTACTATCAACCATTTTCATAGATCACTAATTTCTTCGCATCTATTTCCTGAGCACAAACGCACACAAATCATTTGAAGCCCCCTTCCCCTCAGGTTTTAAGAGACAAAATAATAAGACTGTTTGACCATGAGCGCTGTCATTGTCCATTCAAAACTTTTGCTGTAGAGTTCATCTATTTGCTGTCTCTTTTTTATTTGTATTTAGTGTAATAGTTACAAATGTAGATTACGGCATATTTTGTAGCATCCTCTTCCAGCTGTGTGCAGATATTTGACGCCTCCTTTCTTAATGACTTAAGTAAGGTATCCATTTGCTGCTTTTACCTCCATTACACCATCGATTGACAGTAGACCAATCAAACCATTGTTTAAAGGTAAAGACCAGTATTGGAAACGCCCCAATTTCAAAAAATGAAATGGAAGCTCTTATTACCAATCATGTGAAAGAATATGTTTTGACAAATACATGATGATAAAAAATTTGCCGGGAAACCGCCTACTAATTGATATATTTGGTAAATTAGTTTATCTACATGGTCTGTGAGAGATAAACGCACGTGTCACGCACGTGTGCGTATAGTCCCATATACATCTTTCTGTGTACAGTGCTTGTAACTTTACGAAGACTGGGCCATATTTCTTATCATGTTGATGATTCCAGAACCTTGCAGTACATCTATGCTAGATGATCAACCTTTTCTGATCGATTTCACAAGGTTTCTTTCACAATGCAATCGCATGACCATAACTGGCCTTTACCTTTAACCGCGAATAGCCAAGATGTTATCTGTTTGGAGTTGGCATGAAAGTCAGTTTGGTAGCGTGAATGAGGTGTAAAAGGACACCAGCATCAGATATATTTATAAATGTTGATTAGAAACAATCAAGTGCATTAACAACATGATATCTGTCTTTGCAAGCTCTTACTTGTGTAAGCCAAAAGGAAAATGTAAGAAATCATGCTTTGAGAGTCTTGATACTGAAGTGTCCATCCCTAACATGCCAGTAAGGTACCGAGATATAAATCCCCACTGTGGTTGCTTTTTTTTGTTTTGTTTAGCAACCTAGAAAGAAATCTAGATCCAAACTCTCTCCCCGAATTCCATTGTTACTCATGTGGTAAACAGGGATGCCAATTTTCAGGCAATAGCCTGAATTCAGGCCCTGGTGAGTTATTTTCAGACCATAGTTTAGGCTTTTTTGTGTACAATTAGCTCATTCTAGGTGATTTTCAGGCCCACTAATCAAATTGATCAATTCTAACTGGCATCCCTGAGTAAAGTACTAAACTCACAACTGAAGAATGGTCTATTACTCTGCATAACAACATTTGCCAATTAGTGAAGTCCCACACCCAGAGCAGGTTTACAAGGTTTTGGCTGCTAGAGGGTAACTTAAATGAGACACGTTTACGAGGCATTGTGGCGTGCGCCTGTAATCCAGCTAACAATGGAAGTTATAACCTGATTCAGCCGAGGACGCAGGTTCGAAACTGAGTCCCGTCTTTCGGATGGTGACGTTAAAAGTCAGTCCCCAGACGTAAATAATCATATCTGATTGATACACGTCTGTAAAAACCCAATTACACACACACCCACACCACTTGTGATGTGCCGCTTGAACACAAGTACCTTGCAAAAGAGCATTTGCTAAAACAACCAAGCTTTTAATTGTATGAGAAGATTGAAAGCAAGTCTGTTGTGATCAGAGTGCTGTGATATTGTTCAAATTGTTATTACCTATGTTCAATCAATCATGGCAATACAATCATTGTTTATACAGCTGAAATTTCTTATTTGAGATAAATCAAGTCTTGTAAAAATCATAGCCTTCCTTCCTTGCTATTAGCAGCTGTCATAAGTGAAGACAAACAAAATTCCTTATACTGATTAGGAGGGGGGGGGGGGGGGGGGGGGAAGCAGGTAGAATCGAGGTAGAGTTTATGATTGACAGAGTCTATGTAAGTTGTGGGAAGGCAATGGAACGTGTCGTTTTCGTCGCAGAAATTCAATTCTTTCTTTTTTAGACCGAATGTGTTTCCTTTTGCTTTGGCTGAAATAAATTTCTTATTATTTTTCAAAGATTGTGTTAATTTGAAAGAGGAATTGACAATGGGCATTTGCTAGGAAAATTTAAAGAAAAACAAGTGCTTGCATGTAGTTAGTGCTTGTGTAGCGTGTACATTGAATCTATATATTGCCCTTCATATTGTGGACTCGACTTAAATTTGAATAGGAAGTGCAGATCGTTCATCATGACTCGCGTTAGGTCATATCATTTAGGTGACCTTTCATGTTATATATCAATTTTTTTAATAAAATAAACCATGAGAGCCCGATACATTATCTTATGATGTTGGGCAGTATTGAGGTAATGTTGGAAATCTTTTTACAGCTCGAGTAGTACACCAAGAGAAATAAAACCAAATTTTCCAATCATGGATTTTCTTATTTCATTAACCGGGCATGGTGGCTCAGTCGTTAGAGCGCCCGCCTCATGAACGGGAGGTCGTGGGTTCGAACCCCGGCCGAGTCATACCAAAGACTTATAACAATGGGACCTTCTGCCTTCTAGCTAGGCGCTCAGCATATTAGATTGGAGAAGGGTAGTAATAACATATTATGTTATGCAGGGCCCGCTGGAAGAACAGTTTCATAACTGAAGTGGCTACCCTGGGTAAATAAAAGTTATTATTATTATTATTATTATTATTATTATTATTATTATGTCACAAATGCTGTAGATGTTGCCCTTGAAAGCTTTCTTGTAGAAATGTTTTTGTTTAATTCCGCTTTATATCCTTAAATACTAGATTATATCAACAGTAAACCAGTATGAACTTTCTCTTTCCTTTAATAAAATGTGATGGAAAATGGAGGGTTCCTGTAAAATAGATCAATCATTCTTACATTTTATCTTTCTTTCTTCCTGTGACCTATCAGCTATTGGGAAAAATGTATCCACCCACATGAAGGTTGCACAATTTTTTCCAGTAAACTTTTAAGCTGCATATTGGTTTTGGTGTCACATGTTATGATGTTACATGCAATCTCATGGCATACTTCAAACCTACATTCTGATAAAACCTTACAAGTATAACAACAAAAATCAAGTTGCAAGATGCATTGAATTTCATAGAAAATATACTTGTGATTTCATTTTTGTTCATGATCCATGTTGTTAGGTACGTATCGATTGTTTCAATCTCCAAATTCTCTTGCCACGTCTGAAGCAGTTTTTATCAGGGTTTTCTTACCACTATGGTAAGTTATGGATTTACTTGTAAAAGTTAAATGTATGTTGGGAAATTATGCCATGTCTAGTGGATTCTCTGACTCTACAACATGCAGATGTACCATGTATGGAAATAATTTAGGGTTTGGGATTTTTAGGGGCCTTGCATCGTTGCATCACAGGTTGTACGATTGCTGTAATATTAGTGGGTCTATGTGGAGTAGATTTGACAAAATGGAGTGCTTTTGCTGGGAGTGGTTAGATATCCATTCTTAAATTGACATCTATAACATGTAATAAAACCCTGGTTTCATTTGTCAACATGTCCCATAAATATACTTGAAGAAGAAATCTTATAACTCCACTATGTAGTATCTGGAGACATAGTTTTATGTGTGTTCATGAAATCAGTTTGTTCTGAAAAGCCCCCAACTTGGACTTGTCACAAGTCCCAGAGAGTAGCTGCTACCTGCTAGAAAAATGTTTCACAAATTGCTATGTTTTATTTTTTCCTTCATTTTCAATTGTTCTGATTTTCTGTTGTTGTTTTGGTTTTGTTTATATGTGCAGCTTTGGATTTATAGAGATAATGCAATCTAAAGTGATATGAAATGGGCATTCAGATTGTGAAGTGGCATTTAAAAAAAAAAAATTAAATAAATAAATTGCATATGCCCCCAAGTAATGTATCCAAAGCACATATAAAACAAGAAAATTACTAGATGTAGCATTAATTATCAACTCCAGCTTGAAGCACAGAAAGAAGGTTTCGTTTTGTCGTTGTGGGCCCAGCTCATATGGCTTTTTTTGTAGTTTAGGCATTATTTTTGTTTAAAGAATATTGAAATATAATTAAATTTGTGTAAATACCCTGTATACAGAAAAAATCACTCTCGCAGTAGATAAGATTTAAAGCACGAAGTAAAGAAGAATGCACAAACACTACAAATTGGCTTCCAAATGTTGGGTACAATCAACAATTCAAAATGAATTCTATTTTTAGAAAATGATTTATATAGTGACAATTTAAGTTTGATTTATCTTTTTGTTCCATGCGTATTTCTTCATTTAATTCAGAAATATTACATTAATCAAGGTAAGATGTGCTAATGAAGGAAATGTTGAATGTATTCAAAGTATATATATAAGCATATAATATCCTCTCCTTGTAGGAAAGGATGATCAACAGACAGTAAAAGTGAATTGACAAGTTCTAATCTGAAACTGATTTGCCAATTAAAATTGGTTCTTATGTGCACTGTTATAAAACCAAGCCGTTGTAATCAGCACAAATGAAGTGCTATGTCTGTTTAATACCTCATGCAAATTTAGTTCAGAAGTCTTGCTCTAAATTCTCCCAAGATTTTCTAAAGCAAAATAGTCAGTATAAGGAAAAATAATGAACTGATTGAAATTTGGAGAGCATACATTGTTATTTATGGTGAACATGTGAGACAAATTGGCTATATTTAATTCTTTGTATTTGTAATGTAATTCAATATCAATTATCAGGTTCCTCTTTTTCTGTCTTTTGACAGACAGTCTCTCTTTTTTTTTTAATTTGAAAAAATGTTGAATAATTTACAAGGAAGATGAGTTTATTCCTCATCTTGTATCTGATTAATACATTCATCATTTATGCTGAAAGTCATACACTGCTGATTAATATGTCATCCTTTTGGTCACAGAATGTTGCATAATTATGTATACCGGGTAATCATTTACTAGCATTAGTAATTTGCATGGCACCGTTTTAAGATTAAAATTTAATTATCAATCTTCAAACATTCAGATAATTTCTTGTTCTACTAAGTAAATCCAACCCCTATTTTCACAACTCTTTGTAATGTAAGCTTCAAGCATTTGTTTGGGGAATCTCCAAATAATCATCGTAGTGTGCTTTTTAAAAATTCTACCCTAAGGAAAGCAATGGCTTCTAAAAGATAAATGGTGATATACCCACGCCAATTTACATTGCAATTACGATGGACTTGTTTACTCTACTCTAAGCCATGCCAGAAGCATCGGTTGATATTCCTGTATTCTAGACGAGAAGTACATTACATGTGGTTATTAAAAGAACCGAGTGTCATTGATCTTACATGCTATGGATGTTAAATATTTTGGACGATTGTATCATAGCCTATTAGATACAGAAAAAAATGTTTAAAGAAACTTGCAAGTACATATGTGATGATATCCAATATGTATGTGAAACTCTTTTGTTGTATTGTAACATATGTAATAAAACAAATGTATGCATGGTATATATATTGATTGTGTACAGATATCTTTTTATTGTCCATATATCATTCTGTGTGCTATGTTAAGACAAATTTTGTACAATACAATGACAATAAGGAATTCTCAGTTGATTCATGGAATTAAAATCTTTATTTGGGAGTTTATTAAGCTATAAATAATATTGGTGAGAGACAATTTCACCAATCAGTAATAGCATCAACGATAAAATTGGTCCCTGTCGAAAAGGTATATACCAGTAATATTTGGGGAACATCTAAAGGCAAAAAGGAAGACTTATATACCGTAAAGTGGAGAGAGAGAAAGTGGGGAGGGGGAGGAAGGAAGAAATAGAGGGAGAGGGGAGACTAGCAGTCACATTAAAGACAAGACAAGACCCATCAGCATCTAGAGAGTAGAGATCAGATAAATAATTGTTTGACTGACAGATGATACAGACTTGAAAGGAGGAACAGGGAAAATGTCTTTTCAGTACAACATCTAGCTTATATGAATGCATAAAGAAGAAAAAAGTGTCTACCATGACAGCGTATAATTTTAAGTTTTAAAGATCACTACACCACATATTGGGAACACAAACATCTAGGAGTATTTTTTTAGAATACACAGGATTTATGTTAAAGGATACACATACAAGCCCCTTGGCTCAAACACTAAATTGAAAGACCTATAGCGCATGCAATTTTGATCGACGGTCCACAACGTAAATTTGTTTTCTACTAAATTGAATCGTATGGATTTTCCTGCAATATTGTAAAATTGTTAAATTGGCCAGGACTTGAATGTACTGTACATTATATTTAGCACTGTAATTGATTTATCATGATTACAATTGTTATACTAATATTCCTTGTAGTTTGTAGTACGTTCTTTCACTGTGTAATAAAATTCACTTAATTGCTTCTTCTGTTACATGTGTCAGAGTCTCACCACATCAGAAAATCTAAAAGCCGACAACAGAGACGCCAAGTTCAAAGGTCGGTAATGCGTGACATTTTCATGATTCGGCGGGCGAGCGCGCATGCAAGGGTATAACACACGTATAAGGTATAGCGTTTTTTGTAAATCTACCGCGCGTGTTGTGTATAAGAGCATTTTCAGACCCTCGAAATGCATGATGTCACGCCTAATGCGTGATACTTGGTAGCTCTGCAATAAAGATAAAATGGTTGGTAACTTGGTTGGTAGAAACACGGAGGAGCTGCATTATGGTTTTCTATACTTGCACTGTATCCAGACACGATACATTGTCAACTGTCTTCCCCTGTTCACTTGTAACCTTTTATCAATAGTATTCTGTTCTTCTACCAGCCCAGCTGAAATGAACAATTCCCGCAGTTCATCCTGCGTAAAGAAGTAGACCCGGGTCCCGTCCCCACGAACGTAGAAGTTCTCCGAGAGGCACCTGCCTTTCTTGAAGCGCAACTGCGCCAGATCGTAGCGACCGTAGTCTCTGAAGAGTATCCTACCACCGGGTTTGAGGAGTCTGGTAAGAGTTTGGATCGTCGACAGGAACCGATCGGGGTTGATGGCGGACATGACAAAGATCAGGACGACGAGGTCTAGGCTGTTATCGGGGACTGGAAACGAGGCTGCAGGGTCGCTGACGTCACAGACAAAGGCATGGCAACGGGATGGGTTGTACTCCGCGTGCTGGCGGACGATGTCAACAGCCACAGAGGAGAAGTCACAGCCGTAGACAAACAAACCAGGGTCTGCGTTTGTCTGGAGGATGGGGAAGATGGTGTTGCCCACACCGCAGCCAACTTCAAGAATCCTTTTGTGGGCGGACTTTCCTGGGAAATCATCACTTGCTGCATGGATTTCATCAGTTCCCGATTCACTTCGACTAGTTCTTGATGATGTAGGACCATGTTCACAATCCTCATTTTTCCTCTCCGTTGCTTCTGCCGAGGTGTTTGAACCGCCTGTGGTAAGGCTGTCCATTGTCCTAGGCTCTGAAGTTTCTTGAGATGCTCCATCCTGGTGAGTAGCCTCTGCCCCAGCAGTTTCTTGTGATACTCCCCTTTCAGAGCTAGACTCTTTTGCTGATGCTTGGGCATTGTCTGAGGAGAGCTCAGGGAACTCGGTGAAGAGCCAGTGCCTGTCCTTGAAGAATTTGTGTTGATGCAGAGAGTAGAACTCATTCCAGTACCTATCAGCATCAGCTTCATACAATTCTGAAAAAAGTAATCAAAAGAGCAAAAATACAATGAAACTAAAAATAAAAAGAAAGGTACAGACAAGACTAATGCCCAGAAAGAAAAAAATATGTTGGTACAAAATGTTGTCCATGTGATACATCAACCCTATCCATAGTAAAAAAAAAAAATTTGCTGCGATTTTAAACTTTTCTTTTTTCTTTTAAAGTGATATAAATACTGCTCTAATCGATAGAAATGAACTTTTAACAGGCTCAATGTGAAAATCTGTTTGGTTTTACAATCTAAAGGAATTATCGTGGTGTTTTGTGAATACGGTAGTGGTATTCAATGCAAAATATTTTGGTTCAGTATTTTAGGTTTCTCTCCTTAGTCTCCTATGCACTGTGCATCATGAAATGACAACATGTATTACTCTGGTAATGGCAATTTTGTTCTTGAGAATACATGAAAAATGAAGCATGCAATTATTTCTCTACGGCACAAGTTCACATAACAGAATTGGTTAATGAGCTTTACCTTCAGAAAGATATATAATGAGAACAATAATTCAAAACAATTATTTATTCTTCAAAGAGTCAAAGGAAGACAAATTGAATTGTGGTAGAAGCATGTGTCATACAACTGCATACCTGCCAACATTTGAAAATAAGAATTAGAAATTTCTAGCACGATATGCCTTCGAAAATAAGTAATCTGCACCCTGTACAGGCGTTCGCATTTCAAATTTGCTGCTTGATCATGCTGCCATTCAACAGGCGCAATACCTGAACTCTCAAATCGCAGCACATGATAAAACAAGCTTAATTTGGCTTTAGCAACAACAAAAAAAAAAAAAAAAAAAAAAAAAAATCAGAATATTCTGAATGTTTAGGTCCTAAACACCCAGAAAATCAGAATATTCCAAGTATGCAACTGCCTATAGAACCACCTTTTAATCAGCATTACCTTTTTTGTCTGGTTCGACCTGTTGACTGGAATTCTCTCCCACTTTCTTTTTGGCAGCTTCCAGTTGCTCTGGGTCCCATGCCACGTTGTCCCTGCCATACAAGTTCATGAAAGAAGAGACATGGAAAAGAAAAAAGCATGAGAGAGGGAAATAAATAAAATATGAGAGAAAGAGCAAGAAATATAGAGCAAATATAAAGTTCTTCAATTTTGCTTATCTACTGGACGTGAACACTTCAAACACGAATAACAGGTCAAATGACTGGTGTTATACTGTGAAACACACTCGTGTCCTTTGGCAAGAACTTAATCTACATTTGCCACTCTCAACCCAAATGAAGTAAATGTGTACCAAGTTGCCAAAGCACTTTAAAGGTACTATGTCCCATTTGCAGGCCAAAAAAATGAAAAGGTTATATTCCAACGGCATTTGAAAGACAATACTAATTTAGAACTTCCCTAAAAAAATTAGGGGGGGGGGGGGGCTTGGAAATCTTTACTACCGGTTTTAGTGTCGATTCGACTTAGGAGCTACAGAGCCAGTAAGTAATAGTCTGATTTTTCAGACCATTGTACGGAATGGTTGTACGTTTCATGCTGCGCAAAGATTCAATCAGTATAATGTTGGCCATTACAAGAAGTGGGTTATTGATGTAGACAAATGCTCATGTACCCTTTACAGCTAATTTTATGTATGTTAGTACCAAAGATGAAAAAAGCCAGTCACTCACTAAATAGTGTCTGACAGTGAAGTCTAGCAAGTAAATGGGTTTCCTTGCATAACTTGAATATTAGGACACTGCTCACGTTTAAATTTCACAGATAGGACATACCGTACATGACATATTCATAATTCCTGCAAAGTTCGACAGAATTTGATGCTGGCTGCAAAAGGGACATAGTATCTTTAACAGGGTAGCTCTGCTAAGGCAGGGGTTATAATAGGACAGCACTTACAAGCATTATAACTAAGTTCATGCATTACTATTATCATTTCTTGAAGTTCTAAATGAAGTATCTCACCATGCATTGTGCTGGAAGACATTGTCAGGATTTTCAAGAAATCTGTTCCCAAATTGCGGTCGCTTGACAGATGCAGCATCATCTTTTGTCACTGGCAACTCCTCCCCTGCTGACATTTTCTTTCCTAGATACATGAAATTAAATACATGACACATTTTAAGGTTTATACTCTATCAAATAGGAAAAAAATCCGACATTTAAGTACTGATCTATAAACATAATGAAATGTTTTACCTTTAATGAGAACTTGGAGAAGTTTACTTGAGACAACTCCTTATTTTCAATACTTTCTCTAGACAAACTTTCTACTAATTTGAATTACTATTTTTGTACATTCATTCTAAATTTCAGTTAACATGCAAAAATACATCAATTTGCTTCACAAGGACATAAAACATAATACACAGATAAGGGACTAAGATAAGAGACTATACCGTGTGAGTCAAAAAAAAGTTTACACCTAGAAAATTGCTAATTATTTTTAAAATCATCTATGAACAGTAAATTATTATACATCTTATGAAAGAGTGTTTTATCCCAAATCATTTGGTACCATTTTTGTGTGGTATGTGTTCACCCTTGGATGAACAGGTGGCATTGTTTGTGAGAGTGCAAAAATCGACTTGCGCCAAAATGATGCCTTTAGTATGTATTATGTAGGGATTAGCGGAGTGAGAGAATGGATTGAATGTATCAAATAAAATGCATTGCATATGTTTTTTGCAAAGGGCAAAGTCACACACACCCACACACACGCGCACAAATTGTTCATTGATATTTGATATTCGATATTTGATATGTGTGACATGATTAATTTTGTTAGGGGTGTTATTTGGATCTGCAAAGACCGAATTAATACCCAAATCCCAATTGTTTTATTAAAACATCACATAGGCAACTTTGGCGCAATTCGATTTTTGCACTCTCGCAAACAATGTCACCTGTTCATTCAAGCGTGAACACATACCACACAAAAATAGTACCAAATGATTTGGGATAAAACACCCTTTCATAAGAAACATAACAGTTTAATGTTCGTTGGTGATTTTTTAAATAATTAGCAATTTTCTAGGTTTAAACTTTTTTTTGACTCACTCTGTATACAAGACATTTCTTGCATGCAGATATTTTTGTTTTCATCCCCTCTTGCTATTCACGTACACATATAATACAAAAAAATAGTACCTCTATCACTCACATCATGTGAGAAAGCGGAAGAAAAGCCTACCTTTCGTAAATTTGCCATAAAGTTTTCACAAAGTGTCTGGTAAATTGGACTACCGGCGGTAGACCATTTGTAGATGAGAGGCATTTTACTTCAAAAAATTTCCTGAATTATAAAGGGGCATTCTGACACAATGACCCAATGATTTGCAGTAAGCCGCTGGGCATGTATGTCTTTCTCACCTGAATCTGAGCTTGGATACTGGCGATTTCTTTCTTCAAGCAGTTCCTTCACATGCAGGTTTTCATCACCCCTAGAAATATTCAAACAAATCGGAACAACAACAACAAAATTATATATAATATGGTAGAGTTGAAACTCATAGGTCTCATCTTCTATATTAAACACATGCACAGTGCACTTCAGTCTGAGTTAATGATGTAGACAAATGCTCATGTACCCTTCACAGCTCATATTATGTAATATTACCAAAGAAAGAAAAAAAAAGTCAGTCAGTCACTCATTAGTGTCTGACAGTACAGTCTAGAAAGTAAACGTTTTCCTCGCATTATGTGAATAGTAGGACACTGCTAACGATAAAAATTTCACAAATAAGACATAGGTGACATATTCATAATTCCTGCAAAGTTCTACAGAACTTGATGTTGGCTGCAAATGGGACATAGTACTTTTAAGTAAGAAAGTAAATAAGTAAAGGTAAGTAAGTACACCCAGACGTTGTGTGTTGACACAGCCGGAAAGTTGATTTAAAACAGCAATTTGAAGTAGTTTACTAGCGATATTTCTTAAATGTTCTACGACTTATTTTGGACACTATTTTGGACAAATATTCATGACGTTTAGTGCTATTTGAGGAATATTTTTTGTTCAATCTCAAGGCAAAGGAGAAGTGTTTTGACACCCAACCCCCTAGACCCCTTCATATTTATACCTGACTTGATAAGCATGAACCGATGTCAAAAATCCCTTGCGATGACGGATAATCTTGGATCCCAAGGCGAGTCCGTGCTTCAAGAAATGACAGCCAAGAATCATGGGTGCAAACCAAACACTGGTGTTGGTACAAACGAGTGCTAGCTAATTACTTGCTTCAGTTTTACTTGAATCTTTCAGATTGTTCTGTAGTAGGCCTAGTGAAGGGGTTAGAATAGAACTTCATTAAAACTTAATAACAAAAAATACAAATAAGGAAAGAGAGAATGAGATTAAATCATTGACATTAATAAAGACTGAGTTGGTGGAAAAGAGACAGGGAGATAGATCTAGAACTAGTAGTACAGGAGAAGATCAAACAAGACAGGGACTCTGAGGGAGATAAACTTGAAAGAGACTGTTACTGTTACTGTTAGACACATAGACAGATGAACAACACATAAAGAGACATATCTTGAAACAGACACACATCCAATTCCAACACGTCACTGTTACAAGCAACAAAATGAATGACATGACATAGTCTACACTCTACAGGTACACAATGTATATTGTCTACCTTTATAACCAACACGACCCTAGCCTATAATCTAGGCGGAGTGCCGAGATTGTTTCTTTGCTGCTAGACTAACCTTAAGCAGAACGTCTGATACGGCGAGACTACGAAATCTAGGCGGAGTGCCGAGATTGTTTCTTTGCTGCTAGACTAACCTTAAGCAGAACGTCTGATACGGCGAGACTACAAACTGTGAGCCGCGCACCGCCTATAATCACTGGTCTAGCTTTAGTCGTTGTTTTTTTATTATCGACGATGAATCCGTGGCAGTTTTTCATACGAAAACTGCCACGGATTCATCGTCGATAATAAAAAAAACAACGACTAAAGCTAGACCAGTGATTATAGGCGGTGAGCCGCTTCGCGACTCACGGTTCGTAGTCTTGCCGTATCAGACGTTCTGCTTAGGGTTAGTCTAGCAGCAAAGAAAAAAGCTCGGCACTCCGCCTAGATTATAGGCTAACACGACCCATAAGAGGAGATCCTGATCGATATACCCTACTCCAATGCCGGACTAAAGCATAACTCATGGACTCTCTTGCTATGCTTTGCTGGAGTGCCTCGATCTCGAAGCAGTAGACCCTACGTCACCAAAGACAGTTGACACTCGACAGGCCTGCAGGCCTGCTTAAATTAAAAACACACGTAGCCTTTAAAAATCAATTAAATAAAGACCTCTTAAAGCTGAACTAAAATGCACGACGCACGATAGGCAGACCAGCTTTGGACAATAGTGCTTATTTCTAGCGATGTCCGCATTCCAATCAGAAGATTCATGCATAGCAGCATACTCATAACTTAGAGCATGGGACTAGGTAACTCCAGGAAGCTCCGACGCCGACGCCGTGGGCGTCGTAGCTTACTAGAGTTAGGGACTAGGTTATGGAATCGAATACGAACATATTGCCACTTGAATTTTAGAGTAAAAAAAAACTACCGTACGGTTGCTGTTGAAATGTTACCGTTAGATACATGTCAATTTCAACAGTAAGATCAAATTATTGCTATTGCCTCTACCTGATATGATGTGTGACAACTGTGATTGATTAATTTTGACGATCTAATAGTTTGGCTAGAGTCTTCGATTCACGTGCGTATCAATTCGTTCGGCTCGAGCGGCATGCATGGACCGTTTACAAATACGTAACCGTACCCTCGACCTCTCGACTCTCCTTTTCTTGTCCCCCTCTCCCGTCGATCGACCGTCCTCCGTTCCGAACTCATAGACCCTATAACTTTTTGTTTTCATCCTTTTTTTTTTAATTAACTGTTTTTGAGAAATTGTGCAGGCTTTCTCTTTCTTTCTTTCTCTTTCTCTCTCTCTCCCGGCCTCTCTCTCTCCCGAGATCTCTCTCTCTCTCTCTCTCTCTCTCTCTCTCTCTCTCTCTCTCTCTCTCTCTCACAGTCTCTCCCTCTCTCTCCCGGCCTCTCTCTCTTTCTCTTTCCCTCCCTCTCTCTTCTTTTTTCATCTTCAAAGGAAAGACATTGAAGATAACGAATGCATATAGGCACATAGATCTGCTAATAATAATTAAAGCGAATGATCAAGCTAGCTATGACCGAAACTCTTCCAAATTAATAATGTTTTCGATCTATAACAACACGACGCAATAGGTGTCGTGGTCGAGTGGATATGTCACCGGACTGTGAATCACAAGGTCCGCGGTTCAAGCCCCGCCGCGGCACTAATGTCCTTTGGCAAGACATTGATATACATTTGCCACTCTCCACCCAGGTGTTAAAATGGGTACCCGGTAGGATGCGATAAAATGGCGACTGGCTGGAATGCTCCCCAGGGAGTGGAGAATGTGCATACCTTGTGTGCGGGTAAGCGAATCCGATGACCGGGGTAATAATGTTCCGCGCCTAGAAACAAAGTATTATATTATTCTTATATTATAAATGTGAGCTATTATTATTATTATTATTATTATTATATATATTCTGTTACATGCACATTAATGCACCCCTGCAACCCATATCAATAGAAAGCAGCAATATTCATTGCAGCTTGCATCAAATATACAATTAATTAATGAATGCGCTCCCTTATTTTCAATAGGAGAATATATTAAAAGCCAATTGAACCTATTAAAGCCAGGCTTGCCTTTTTCACTGTGCGAATTGAGATCGTGAATGACCCCATTCAGTCTAATTGGTAGTGGGTCGGTTACTCAATAACACCCTATACAAGTAAAGAGTACGCCATCCTTATTGCAAAAAAAAAAAATATTTATCCATGAAAGGGGAGAACTACGATGTCAATGCCATTGCCATAGCAACTCCTAAAGTGCTCTATAATATCTTTCTGGAATTCTAGAATATCAAATTTCACATGTATTGTAAGCGAAGAAACCAGAACACACAAACCGATTTAATTATAATTTGACAGAAAGTTAAAGATGATGTGGGAGAGACCTGAGAAATTTTGGAACTCTCTTCATAATGACATTCAACTTGCCCCCCCCCCCCTCTCTCTCTCTTATTTCATTTAAGAGGAAATTGAAATTGTTTCTTATACTTTCTTACAATACAAATTAATATCAGTGCATTGTCAAATCATGTCTTGCCTTCTTTAAATCCTTCTCGTCACTTCTTTTTTTAGGCCTGTATGTTAGCGTTCTATATTTATGGTCACTACCCCTGTAGTATGCACATCGTGTGCTATCTCTTACTCTCCTTTTTTCTCCTCTCCATCTCGATCTCCTCTCTTTTTCTTTACTCTTCACATATGCAGCAACATTATAGAGAAGGGTTGTGAGAAAAAGACAAACACATGTAAAAGAGAAAGAGAGTATAGGATCGAGAAAGGGAAAGATGAAAAATGCGACTGTGTGTTATTAACAGCAATGCACAGTCGGTCAGTGGCGTAGCCATGCGGTTTGGGGCACAGGGGGCATGTGCCCCTAATCGAATGCCCCCCCCCCCCCACACACAAAATTGAGAAAGAGGGGAGCACATTTTTTTTTTTTTGGTCCTCGAAAATTTCATTTTTTTTCATTTTTTTTCATTTTTTTTCATTTTTTTTTTTTGGGGGGGGGGGCCCAACCCTCCAAAAAGGTAAAAATCACGTGTTTTTACATGATTTTTTTTTTCTCAAGGGGGGGGGGCGGCCCTCCCCCCCCCCTTGGATCCGCCACTGAGAGAGAGAGAGAGAGAGATAGGAAGAGAAAGAAAGAATGCAAGATAATATGATGATAAAGTTTGCTCGAAAATGATCTCCAAAGATCGTAATATAGGTCAATCAATAACGCGGGAATAATAATAATAATAATAATAATAGCCTAATAGTCCACTCCAAATTTTATTAAACCGAAACGGAAATTCTTTTTGCCCAATTAATCGTGAGCCCGGCAGCCACTGAGCAGCGCCAGATCGACGTTGCTCTATCCCCTTATTGTTGAACGCCAAACAAGGTAGCAACAACTCCCATCTTTTAACGTCTTTTGGTATGACGCGGCCGGGGTTCGAACCCACGACCTCCCAACAACAACATGATAGCAATTAAATTAGGTGCATTAATGATTTAGAAGTGCTTTCGAAGGATCCGATCTGCGTCCTTGATGTATAGTACGGCAGAGGAGAAAAAGAAATGGAGGTAAGAGTGACGGAATGCGTGCGGGAAAAGAGACAGAGAGAGTATGTATGTATGTGTGTCCGTTTCACTTTAAAATACAAAACTTCCGCACTCTAATGGAGCAGGGTGTTAAATCACCTCCCGTCCTACTAGTCAATCTGCCCCCTCAAATTGTGACCATAGTACAGCATTTTTTTTCAACGTGCTGCTGCGAGTGTGTTTTAGACAGTCATATCAAAAAAATATTTTAGAACAAATTAAATGTCAATTTTAGAAAATGTAAGTGGCCGAAATTATATATAAAGATCTCGTTAGGTATTTCGATGAAGGAATACAATTTCAGAGACAGTAAAGTGTTGTTTTTTTTGTTCTCGCTAGCTTCGCTCGCTCGCGAAATAATAGAAATGTGATAGTTTCAAGCAGCGAGTTCCACAAACATCCCCGTATGGTGATATTCGGGCAAGATGGCACCAGATTATAACCTTATTTATTGTATTTTGATATCGAAATAAATTTATACCACAACAAAGTATCTTTATTTTGCCCTTTTGTCCTTTGCTTGAAGAGGTGAAAGTTACATTTTGATTTAGTTTTAAAAAAAGAATAAGAATAAGGATTGACTTGCCTCTTTATTCACGAAATGCCAGGGGTATATTTGTGAAATACGCTTTTCGCTAAGTAATCCCAATTAATGTTCTTTTAATACATAAAACCTATCCGGTCCAGATAGATATAATAATTTACCAAATATATCAATTATTAGTAGGCGGTTTCTCGGCAAAATTTGTATCATCACGTATTAGTCAAAACATGTTCTTTCACATGATTGGTATAAGAGCTTCCATTTCATTTTTTAAGAGGGGGGGGGGCGTGTCCAAAACTGGTCTTTACCTTTAAACTTCCCCAACGACTCATAATTCTTCTGTTTAAAATAGCTGCCTTACTATGCAACTGTATGTTTAAACTCATCTACGTTTTAATCCTTCTCCTTGCACAACCTAATACATATTGTTTATAATGGATTTCTTGTGAGCAAATGAGTTCTTTATGAATTGGCTATACCAAAAGAAAATGATCTTGAACTATAAAATCCAGAATTTCCTTAAAAGGTTTTTTTTTCCTGTTATAGTTAGACATTCAATAATGTTGGATATAAATAGACAGATATATGTTGACTATCAGGATTATTTTGTTAAACTCAGTGGAGGAAAATTAATACTTTTATTATAAATTGAACTTTTAATGGAATAGATGATAAAGTAGCATCAAATGAAAAACACAAAGTTTCCTTAGAAAAGATGAACAGATAATTGACAGTTTTTAGAAAATACACCGCACATAAAAGACATATAGATGTACAATTATTATTCCATGGCAACATGTGACGTAGATATTACCGCTGCGACCAAATGGAATACATGTCTTAGTGTATACATCAATTAGTGTAAAGTGAAGTGTCCTTCGAAATGATAATAGAACGCTTATTTATCAGACGTCTAAGAGTCTTTTATACCCTAGTGACGTGAGATAACATGTCACATTTCTTGCTTCGAAGTTTAATTTTTATTTATATCTCTCTATATAATATGAATACAAAAACATACAGACATTTTCATGTTCATGAATGTAAATTTGATACACTTTTTCTGGGACAGCAAGGTCTTGGAAACATGACACAGCTTTGATTCAGGTATACGTCTGTCTTCCACGGGTCTTCCGAAGGTATTATGTGTGTGTGCGCGTGTGAGTGCGTGCATGGGTGTGTGGGAGTGTGTGTGTGCGTGTATTTGTGTGTGTGCGGGTGAGTTTGTTCTTTTACCCACAAGGGGCCTTTAATTTACCGTCTTTGGCTCTCTGTCGGCCTCTGCATTACCAAACATCTTTTTTTTCTCTCCTTGTCTTGTTTTGCTCAGGTGTTTGGTAATAGAAAAATGTATCGAAATATGCAATTTCTTGAACATTATTGGAAACAAATTTGCGTTCTTGAAAAGGCATCTTGTACATTTATTTATTGTTAGTTTGTTTATTTGTTTGTTTGTATTATCAACCATGTCTTGCACATTTTATTAGATTATATTGTTTGATTTTATGTTTGGAAACGAAAAGAAATGAAAAGAAATGAATACAAAATGAAAAGGAAAAAGATTTTAGTTACGTATTCATGTCTATTTGGAGCCAGAAGGGCGGCAACTCGTAGGTTGGGGTGTCATGGCAGGCAGGCGCGCCGGAGGTGGTTTGGAAATGGGGGGGGGGGGGGCGGGGGGGCATTCCAGGGGGCTCACCTTCCAAGGGCAGTGGCGTAATTAATGAGGGGGGGGGGGAGAAGAAAAATCTGCATCACCACCACTTGTACATGTTACATGCAGGACCTGCGGAACGTTTTTCAAAGTGGAGTATTAACGATCAGGTAGAGCGTAGGGAGCGAAGCATATTTTTTCGCCCGACTGTAAAAAAGGTTTGATTTACAAAACGATTGTGATAAAATACCGGAAAATCATGTCATTTCAGCAACATTTGTAAATCACTGGTAATGGTATCGAATAAGAAATACCCCACATCAGCATCCCAGTGTTCAGGGGCTCATGTCTTCTCACCCGTATTATAACAAAACACACGCGCTTTCTCATCCTCTCACAATATTTCCACGATATGCTCGTATCGTTATTATATAAACCTCCATTAATAAATAAATAGGGACATGCAGAATGTTTAAGAAATATACTTTGTGTTAAGTTTCCTTTCCTTTGAATGGAATATAATTTATATGTGATTCAATTTAGGTTTTATTATCTTTTATGTTCTTTTTGGTTCAAATCTTTACCCTTTTACTCCTTTTTTTTTGGGGGGGGGGCGAAAATGCGTTCCCCCACTTTTTTGGTTGGGAGCGAGCGCCCCCCTGCCCCCCGCCCCCCACACTTCCCGGGCCTATGCTGGCACGTCTTGCTCATTCCTGTCAAACCGCCCCACAAAAGAATAGAGGATGACTCTGATGAAGAAAACAATTAAGAAATAGTTTTTACAAACAAAAATTTGTATATGAAAATTGCGACATATTTATGATTATTTCGAAGGTCTGTAAATAGTGCATGACGACGATGACGTGATTGTTTAGAACCAAAATACCTTCCTAATAACATAATGACGCCGTAATAACCAATAAAGGAATGCGACTTCATATTAAGCCATTTTCCGTTGCTCCTTGCTTATTAAACGTCTCAATCACAGGTTTCCATGGAATATTTCGTATTTTTTTAAATATAAAACTGTCTTTTATTTCAAGGTTAATTTTGAAGTCCGTCATTTTAGTAATTCATTTAATTATAATCATGGTACGCTTCATTTCTTAGTTCAAGGGTAATTTTGTATGAAAGATCTTTCAATAGCCAATTTCTTCAGAATTCACCTATTCAGTAAAAAAGAAATTAAAAAGAGAAAGTATGGTCAGTCGAGGGAAAAGCTTAATCAGTAGATAATTACTTTTAATACATTCTTTTTTTCTCTGCAAGTTAGGCAAACGAACATAGAAATGAGGGTAATGATGGGAAACTTTTATTTAGCCAACAATTTAATTCCGTAACATAATTCAATTTTCTAAAATGCAGGCATTAAAGACAAACATGGCAAAAGAATTGTTATGAGTTGGGGTAAAGCGTAATTAGTTGATGATTTTATTCACTTACAATTTTTCCTACAATTCAGGCATTATAAACAGAGTAATTAGTGTTGGTTTAGGGGAAAAGCTTCGTTCAGTTCTTCAGTCGACAATTTCATTCAGCTCCAAATTTTTACAAGGAATGCAGAAGCAAACAGACATGACCGAAGTATTAGGTTTAGATAGGAAAATCTTTAATAAGTCAATAGTTTTAGTCATATTCCTAATTATCATTTGAGGGGTCCACAATTGTACAAGCTATGCTTTTTAGTGAACGCCTCTGTTCCAATGTGTATTCCTTAATTGTTGTAAATGATTATAATTGATTGTAATGTTTTGTTGGAAACATGAATAAAAAGTGAATTGAAATGAATTGAATTATATTACAGAATTCACGTTTTTCACATGTCAGGCATTATGACAAGAGTACCGATTAGTTGGGGGTAAAGCAAATTCATTCGATAATCTGATTCAATAGATAATACGTTAAATGGTCAAAAAGCACTTAAAACTAAATTTTTGTAATTTTGCTATTTTGTATACTCTTCATATTTGAGTTTTTCATATAATATTTCTATTCACAGAGGAATTAGGTAATTCACTTTCATTTTTTTTCTCGCATTCCCGGCATTATAAAAAAAGGAATTAGTATTAGTTTAGGGGAAAGGCTGCATTCCGTAACATAATTGGCTTCTTTGAAAGACAGGCATTATGAAAAGAGAAGTTCATGGTTGTTCAGTCGACAATTTCATTCAGTCGAGTCCTGAGTTCTAATACACTATTCTCTCACAGTTTTTTCAAATGTTGTATTCTTTGTCAAAATATCATCTATTACATAAAACAGGTCAACTCTATAGTTATATGAGCCAGTAAGCAACGGTATTTTAATTATCTCTCTCCCTCAGTCTAGTTTGCCCTCCCTCGCGGGTCGTTTGCGATCACTTTGAGACACACGTTTAATAATCTATCGTTTCCATGACAGTTCAGCATTGATATTGATGATTATAAGTGGCCATCTAATATAAAATGTGACCCGGCACAACAAAACCAACAAAAAGTCGCAAAAAATTATTTTCCTGATTTCATCTGATTATGAAAGAAGAAGTTCTCCTCATTAAAATGGTATATTACTTGTCCAAATTGAAGCTTCCTAACCCTTTCAATTTAGTGAATGAAAAGAGCTGGTGAGGGAGGTTACTGGTATTAAATTGTGAGAAAGAGAGCTTTAAAGTTTGGGGCTATTCAAGCATGCGGAGCAAGCAAACCACAGGGAAATCAATAGAAGGGTGAATCAAAAGGCCATAGCAACCACTATGAAGAGATTTTCAGATTAGGCTGAAATTTGGCCTGATGGTCAAACATAGTCTGTTCATTATGTTTCTGAGGTTTCAATGTGTGGACTTAAGTCTTTCAAAAGTTATTATGTTGTAAATGTATAGAGTTGTAATTGGACAGATTAAGTGAACTGCAACATAGTGCCGAGACACCTGCACTAGACAATGCCTATTCATGGTGGACCCGGAGTCTTTTTGTTCCCCCTTACATAACACTGCTTGTCACCTATCTTGTTTTGTATACATCTGGGCAATTATTTGTAACCACATTATGAACTTGCTTTATACTTAATTCCCATACTGTTTTCTTTCTCACAGGAGGTTCAAAGTATTTTTACTATGACTTGCTCTTTCATTTCCAGTAGCCATCCTGATGATAATTAATGGAAGCAATTCATAAATACCAGCCAGAAAGTGGTATAAAAATAAAGAAAGGCAGGAGACACACAGTAAAGACACCAACATAGAATAACGAAAAATAGAAAGAATGAGAGAGAGAGACAGAGAGGGAAAAGAAGGGGGAGAATTATGATAGCTGTATGCAAAATGATGATATCAAGAGTGTGAATGTGTGTTTACAATAAGAAATTGATTTCAAAACTCTTATGGGAGAATAAATTTGGAAGGACAGAAATGAAAACAAAATTATTTAGGGAATGTCACAACTCTTTCTCATCCTGTATCACAAGTTTAAAAATGCAACAACTCTCTCTCATCCTTTATCACAAGTTTGAAAATGCAACAACTCTTTCTCATCCTTTATCACAAGTTTGAAAATGCAACAACTCAAGCTACTCGAAGTCGTTAACGGAGAATATAAGACGAACGCAAATCTGGAACTCGGATGAGAAAGCGGATACAAACAAAATGGCGCGCCGCACTGATTGCTATAACGGACCAATCACAGCCCGCGTAGCACGACCCGTTAGCAACGACCGACCATTTCCGGACTACGATAATTTCGCTCGGGAAAAGTGATCAAATTTTGGAAGAGACCGAAGGCTGTGCGAAAAAAACTGGTCTAGAAAAACCGTTTAAAACACGTCTTCTACTATGTTTTAGACTTCCAAATTTTGATACTAGGTACAGAAAAGACCACTCTTTCAGAAAATGCAAAAAAACAAAAATCTATTTTTTTCACCTAAATTGACATTTTAGCTGATTACGGAGAATCGCTGGTTGCGACTTTTTGTTGGTTTTGTGGTGCCGGGTCACAAATGATGTGCACCTTCTTTCGCTGTCATTAATTGTCCGTTCCTGACGCTCAGCGCAATTTTGACTTTCACTCGCGGATAAAAATAGTACATACTCATTGGATTTTATTTCCTTTTGTCAATCTCATATATCTAACTGAGAAATATATTTACTCTGTAAATAAAGCCTTATTTGCAACGCGTTCATTCTACTGGAGTGCCTGATTATCATGGATCGCAATAATTTGTCGATGTTGGTGGCAAACATGACGTCCAATGACTCGAGTCCTACTGAAGAAATCGGGGTGGACTTCGATATCAGTAACAATACCATCGTAAATCTAACGTACTACATAACGTCACTAATCTTAGGATTACCCGGCAATGCCATCATTCTGCAGACATACGCATGGAAGAAACGGAAGACGAGAACAGATTTCCTTATCATGGGCCAAGCCGTCATTGACTTCGTTGCTTGTTCGTTTTCATTGCCCTACATCTTCCGAAGCGGTTTCCCCGAACTCATTACGATAGGTTTGTGTCGCTTTGTATTCTACGCAGAAGAGATCTTCGCTCTAAACTCCCTGCTCCTGACCACACTGATCAGCATCGATCGTTATCTGGCCGTATGCCGTCCACTTCGACGTCGAATGACGGTACGAAAGTCGATTTCGCTCATCATACTTTGTGTCGTTATTTCCATCGTGATCTACCTACCCTGTCCAATTGCGACATCCTTGACCATTTGGAATGGTAGAAGGGTATGCAACTTTGTGCCATTTAATCCATTGGGGGCCGTCTTATTTATATCGCTTATTTCCAGTGTGTTCACTGTATCGTTTGCTACGAATAATATCCTTTACATCTTGATTTATGCTTCCCTACGAAAAAGAGCAAAGATTCATGCCAACCTGACACGCAATGAACTCCCAACAGCTACTATCGCTTCGAACGCCGCCAGCTCGCTCGAGTTAAATTCGAGGTTTAACTACGCAGAAACAAGAAGTGCAATTCGTCCTCGTCCGGATGACACAAGCATGAAAGACCCGTCCGAAGCAATACAGGTTTCATCGCAATTGGAGACAGCAGGGTGTTCCAATAATACCAGCATACCACCATCTCTTAGAGGTGTAGTCGCCGATTCGAATCTCACAAAGTCAATAACTAAACCATCGCGTGACTACGGCAAACACATCCCACTGCCTAAACGTGACGTTATACCTGGTCATCAAGAAGCTTCATCATCAACGACGGCAGCTACAGTTCCTCAACGTCGTAATCCTAGTCCGCGTCGATCAAAGGCGCAGAAGAACAACAAAGACTTTGGAAGAAAAACAACGCGTATGCTGCTAATTGTTACCATATTCCTCTTTATCACTTGGATTCCACAGGTTGGGTTTCCATTCATCCCTTCTTCGATTATACACGGAAAGATTCACATTTTAACACTTCTCTCCACATTCTATAACCTTAGACTGACCAATCACATTGTCAACTTCTACGTCTACTATTGCGTTAATAGCAGTTTTAGGAGAGATGTCAAGGGGTCATTTGCAAAGTACACACACTGCAAGTAGCTCATAGAGATGCAGTTCTATGACATGGAAATGACATTTTGATTTCTGTACGCCTTAAGAGGGAAGGTGTATAGTTTATCTCGGCATGGAGCACATCCATGTTATTTGATACGAATCCAATCGTGTGTAGTTGGTCCATCGTTTGCTGAGGCTAGAGACAAAAGGGCGTGCTGCGAAAGTTTCATTAGCCTAGTGTTGTCCACTCTCTTAAATTTCTTTTATTATCCTGGACATTCTCGCGTAGTCATTTATTCATCTAATCTTCAAAACAACCAGCAATGTTTTTTTGTATAATAATAGGCAAAATAATTGAGATGGAAAAGTCCAGCTTGACGCGTAGACTTTCATTTGAGTTCCTGTTGAGTAAACTTTGTGCGCTCAAACTATACTGGTAAATGTGTGGGGAGAAAATGGCGCCACGCCCTGGGGAGCTTACGAGACCTAGACGTGTATTTAGTCGCAGTACTGGTGTACGCTGATACAGTGCGTCTCAGAAAACACGAAACCGATATTTTACAGATGTTTTATAACAAATTAATCACAATTATAATCAATAAATGACACATATTTGTTTATAAGCTTATATCCTCCTCTTTCATTTGATGGAACTCATATGTTGCATATTTCGTCCTTGTTTTCACGAAGTGACGGTAGCGAGGAAAATCGTAACGCAAAGTGAATGCAATTTTTTTTCACTACCGTCACTTCGTGAAAACAGCGACGATTTAACGCATGAGTAATTATAAACAATTTAAAGAAAGGGCACAAAAAAGTGATTTGGCGAACGAATTCTAAATTTCATTTATAGAAAGTTCTTTTTCCGCCCTTTCATATGACACCTCAATCAGGAATAATGAGCCAGGAATAACAACGTTCTGTTTGTTTAAAGGTAAAGACCAGTAATGGTCATGCGATTGCATTGTGAAAGAAACGTTGTGGAATCGATCAGAAAAGGTTGATCATCTAGCATCTAGCATCTGCAAGGTTCTGGAATCATCAAAATGATAAGAAATTTGGCCCATTCTTCGTAAAGTTACAAGCACTATACACAGAAAGATGTATATGGGACTACCCTATCTCTCTCACCAGACCATGAGAGAAATAAATTTACCAAATATATGAATTAGTAGGCGGTTTCCCGGCAAATTTTTTATCATCATGTATTAGTCAAAACATATTCTTTCACATGATTGGTAATGAGAGCTTCCATTTCATTTTTTGAAATTGGGGCGTTGCCAATACTGGTCTTTACCTTTAAAGTCATTCTTGCATTTCCATAATTTTCACTGGCTGCCTGCAACAAACAAAAAACTCCGTTTCGTTGACGATCAGCCATGCATGAAGTCTTTCGTCTTGACTGTTGTTAGGGCAGACAGCCAGTGGAACGGATTGGATTAATGAAATGATGGAAATGCAAGCATTACTTTAAACAAACAGAACTTTGTTATTCTTGGCTCACTTTCTATACAACATCTTGTGATATGATAAACCGGCTCTAAGCAAAAAGTTACTGATCGATTTTAATTTACATTATCATTACAAAAATATTCTTTTTTGTTGTCCTTTGCTTGGAAAGGTAAAAGTTACATTTTTATTTTGTTTTACTTCAAATATTATGATACATTCCACTCAACGGCAGGACCCATGTTACGTCACCATGTAAAAGGTAGGAGGTTCGAATGTGACAAACGTTGTCATCAAATTGTTTATACTTTATTTTATAATATAAATATTTCATTGATCAAAATATAATACCAAACGTAATTCATCTGATAATTAATGGATAAGATTTATTGATTTAAACAAAAATATGTTTTCCGTTTCTCAACGTTTTAGTAGCACCCAGAGAGTAAACAAGAGTTTTCTTCACGATGTAATTATATGCACCATGGATATTACGAATGTTTCATGAATAAAATAAGATTTAAACATTTAAAACATTTTTTGGGGCATAAAGTTCGCGTTGCTAAGAATTGAATATTGTACATGAATTAAATCAGCGGACTAATCTTCCCCCAAGCTTATTTGGGGAATTGCGTAACTGTGTGAAATTATCGGTTAATCAAACCGGGGCCCGTTTTTCAAAACCGTCATAGGTCTAAGTTCGTAGACGTGTCATAGGTACGTGTGCTAATCTACACGTTTCAATGGGTTGTCCAAGAAGTTAGACTAATGACGGTTTCGAGAAACGGTCCCCTGTATCCCAAACTAATCCTGATTTGGCTTCCTTTGAATCACCGTGTCATCGCGTCGGATCGGGTGGTCGCGTTAGCCAATCTTTTATTAAAAACATGCCCCTTTATTCACAATATGTCGGGGATAATGTTTGTAAAATAAACCCCTCTCATGTACAAAATACTCTTGTGCATTTTACACGACACTTTGTGTATTCCCAACGGCTAATCTACGAAAGGTCACGTCATCTTCTGCTTTCGTTTTCTGAAAGGTCGTGTAACGCAACTCCCGACCGGACGCGATGAACTGATGGTTCGAAGTAAGCCTCCTAATTTACAATGCGCGCCTTCTAAAGAAAGGAATTGACTATTGTGAAGAAACTTTTTAACTGATAATGCTTTTCGCTCACTAATAAAAAATCATCTTATTTACATAATAACTGTCTTGCGAAGGAGTACGTTACCTAATTGTATAATGCAAAGACTAAATAAACCTTTTACCCTACTTGTGAAAAAATAAACTATGTAACTTAATGAAATTATCAACTCATTAAACTCCCCCCCCCCCCAACGAATCAAAAAATCTTTGTTTAAAATAGTATGTTTAAAATCATCGACTGATCAATTCTCCTCCTTGCAATACCCAATTCCTTTTATATGTAACGGATGTTTTGTGAGCAAATGAGTTCTAAACGAATAGACTATAAATAAGAAAATACTCTTGAACTATAAAATGAAGCTTATCTAGAATTTCCTTAATAGGATTTTTGTCCCTTTCATAGTTAGACATTCAATAATTTTGGATATATAAGTAGACAGCTTATCCAGAATTTCCTTAATAGGATTTTTGTCCCTTTCATAGTAAGACATTCAATAATGTTGAATATATAAGTAGACAAATGTCTGTTAACTATCATGATTATGTTGTTAAAGGTAGGCTTTACTACTTCAGCAAGAAGGGATTAGACCGCCCAGCGAGCCAGCGAGGTCACTGTGACAGGTGGCTATCTCATTAACTCAGCTCTCATTTAACATAAGAAAAAGAGGATCATGGGGGACCAACAGGCACTGATTGGGGAAGTTTTCTATATAGAGGGAGCAAGTAGCTACAAGTAGGACAATGTGCCTTTAAACTCAGTGGAGGAAAATTTAATACTTTTATTATAAATTGAAATTAATAATGGAAAATATGCTATGGTGAAATCAAGTCAATATCACACAGTTTCCTTATGAAATTTAAAAAAGAAAAATAGAAAAGATGAACAGATAATTGAAAATTAAAAAATATTCTCCGCACATAAAGACATCGGCTTATATGGATGCATACTATTATTCCACGAGAACTTGAAATGTAGATATTACCATAGCAACATTAGACAATACGTTATCATTGTGACCATAATTTATTATTATGCGCTATATATAAATTACTTTATTATTATTATTATTAAATGGAAGATATGTCTAACTGTATACATCAATTAGTGTAAGGTGGAGTGTCCTTCGAAATGGAGTTTTTTAATACCCTCGGGACGTAAGATAACATGTCACATTTCTTAATTCGAAGTTGAACATTTATTTATATGTTTCTATATAATATGAAGAAAAACATACAGACATTTCCATGTCCATAAATGTAAATTTGATACAGTTTTTCTGGGACAGCAAGGTCTTGGAAACATGGGAAACAGAGTTAACATGCTGGTTCCATGCTTAAACACAAATTAGACATAAGAGGGCCACATCATAACGGCCTGATTGACACTTGATTTTCCTGCAGCCCGCCTTTGTCCTGTGATAAGTATTCTTACATTATAAGTGTAACTCGGGACAACATACATAATGTCTTAATTGTCTACTTACTCTAGTATAGAAGAGTAACCAATGACACTGCAACTTATACAAGTGAATGTATTACCGCTTAAATTAACGAAGAACCGAATAACTCATACTGGTGTTAAGAAGACCAAAGAATACAACTTCATGTATACATGTAGGGAGGCTTGGTCAACCAACCACTGACAAACCTAGTATTATGTAATTATCTTCTTCAAATTGAAATCATTCCTCATTTATTTCATTTAAAAAAAAAAGTTGTTGTAGGTATATGATGTAGACACCTGTTCTTAAAAATATATTGTAAATGTGCATCAAACTCTGCTAAACACATTTACGCCATATTTAAGCAGATTGACAGATTCATCGTCATGGCTAGCAGCTTTTTTCAGACATTATTCCTTTTCTTGTTTTGCTCAAGTGTTTGGTAATAAAAGACACAACATATCGAATGAATAATGCAAATTTCTTGAACAATACTGGAAAATTTACTTTTTTATGATTCAAGACATGTTGTACATTTATTTATTGTCAGTTTGTTCAATTTTCTTTTAATTATCAACCATCAACCATGCCCTGCACATTTCATCACGCTATAATGTTTTATTTATTTTTGGAAGTGAACATAAATGAAATGAAATGGAAAAGTGAACATTTCGATGGTCTGTAAATAGTACATGACGACTATGACGCGATTGTTTAGAACCAAAATACCTAATATGGTTGAAAATATCTTCCTAACGCCTTAAAGAGAAGGTTCATTGATTTAAAAAACTAACTTTAATATCATTATTGCAAAGGCAACACTTTGATTGGCCAAGGTTATCAAAAGCCAATGCTAGGAAACATTCGAAGTATTGATTATTAACAATTACAAAACGCTTAGATACAGCCCCGACATAGCACCTGAAAAGCTCCCCGGTCGCTGCTAAGATATGACGTCACATGTTGAACATGATGTGCACAAGCAGACGATATCCCATGACATCTCACACAATTCCAGTGCCTGTTTTGTCATCTTTTCTTCAGTTATTTCTCTTACTTCAATACCCTCAGGCGAAATGTTTAATATATTGCCTCACTCTAAACCCCGTGCATGGTATTATTTCGATGAAAAATGCAAGGATTAAAAAAAAAAGGGAATCCGTCGCTTGTAAACAAAATAAGACGCCATTGTATTTTAAGCTGCATACACCGCGGCATGTTCGGCGTTTCAAGAGGGAATAAATGACGTCCATGCTATCATTCCGGAGGTTTTTTAATTTGAAAGTGTGGTTTCTTCGAATGTTCATTGACCAATATCCTGTGTATTTACAAACAAAAGAATTCAGTTATCAGAATGGGGGTCATATCCCTTTTTGAATGGTGTAAAATTCCATCACATTTATATACACTAAACTCATTATAATTTGATAAATAAAAGCATTGCAATTATGTTCATTCTTTATGGGATGTCGTCTGCTTGGGCAGGGTTGGTTCACATTGTGACGGCATTAAAACATCCTTATTTTTCCGGCGAATTTCTCGCATATCCGAGATGCTATGGAGGTTGTTTTATTTGTATTTTTATAAACCACCCGGTATGTACTTGACCTAAAACTTGCATGATGGCCATCTGTTAGCTTACCAGTTTCTAGTACTACGCTATTTGCTATATTTGTGATTTTCTATGAACCCGCACTTTAATAACCAGTATTACTTCAAATTAAGCTGGTTTTTCGTTGCTCATTGGTAATCAAACGTCTCCGTCACAGGTTTCTATGGATACCACCGGAGTGTTGGCTCAGTCAGTAGAGCGTCCGCTTCACAACCGGGAGGTCGTGGGTTCGAACCCCGGCCGCGTCATACCAAAAGACGTTAAAAGATGGGAGTTGTTGCTACCTTGTTTGGCGTTCAACAATAAGGGATAGAGCAACGTCGATCTGGCGCTGCTCAGTGGCTGCCGGGCTAACGATCAATAAATATATTGGGCAAAACGAATTTCCGTTTCGGTTTAATAAAATTTGGAGTGGACTTATTAGGCTATTATTATTATTATTATTATTATCTCATATTTTTAATTTTAAAAAATTCAAAGTTTGTTTTGATGTCTGTCATGTTAGTAAATAATCGATTGTAATCATGGTACACATCATTTCTAAGTTCAAAGGTTATTTTGTTTTAATAAAAGATGTCTCATTAGCAAATTTATTCAGAATTCACATCTTCACAAGACAAATTAAAACAAGAGAAAGTATGGTCAGTTGTTGTGAAAGCTTATCAGTCGATAATTACCTTTAATTCTCTTTTCCACAAGTCAGGCAAAGAAACATAGAAATAAGGGTACCGAAGGGAAAGGTTTTATTCAGCCAATAATTTAATTCTGTAACATAATTCAATACATTTTCCAAAAAACAGGCATTGTAGACAGACATGACAGGGGAATTGTGATAAATTGTGGGAAAGCTTAATTTAGTCTATGATTTATTCACTTACATTTTCTCCTATAATTCAGTCATTAAAAACAAAGGAATACATATCATTTTTTGGGGAAAGCTCCGTTTAGTTGTTCAGTCGACACTATCATTCAGTTCCAAATTTTCACAATGACTGTGTGAGCAAACAGGTGTTACGCGTAGGCCTAGTTGCGGAAAAGTTTTATCATTCGATAATTTTCACTCCGTTACATGCATGTATTTCATTAACGCAAAAGGCAGGCATAACAGACAGACATCACACAGAAATACGTCGATCACTTTTTTTCTATTACAGAATTCAATATGTTTTACAAGTCAGGCATTATGACAAGAAGAATAAGGATAAGTTGAGGTAAAGCACATTCGTTCGATAATCTGATTCTGTAGGTGCTACGTTACTTTTGCTATTTTCTATGTTCTTCATTTGAAAGTTTTCATATAATATCACTTTTCACAGAGGAATTAGGTAAATTCATATACATATATATTTTTATCTCACAATTCAGGGATTAAAAACAAAGGAATTATTATTAGTTTAGGGGAAAAGCTTTATTCAGTAACATAAGTGACTTATTTGGAAGACATGCATTGTGAAAAGAGAAGTTTATGTTAATAGTGTCGTTGTTCAGTCGACAATTTCATTCAGACGGGTCATACCAAAGAAATCGACGGAACAACTGTATCAATACATGTTTGCACTCCGCGTACTTACTATTCTCCCACAGTTTTTCATTAAAAAAAATCTTTGTCAAAATATTATCCGTTACGTAAAACAGGTTAATATATGATTATATTATAAGCCAGTAAGCAATAATATCATAAATCTTTCTCCCTCCCTCAAGCATTAAAGGGCAAGATATTGAAATTTTTACTACATACAAATATTTGGGCACAACCACTGACAATGAACTGGTCTAGAATGAGCATACAAAAGCCCTTGCAACAAAAAGGGAGCCAGCGAATCCACTCTCTGCGAAAGCTGCGTCCATACCATGTTGATAGGACCATATACTATCACTTTTGTATCGGTCCGTAGCTGAGAGTTTAACGACACATGATTCTTTAGTGTGGTACAATAGTGCCAGAAAGAAAGACCAAGGAAAACTCTAAACCATTGTCAAACAAGCAGCCAAAATAATAGATAGACCGATGGATTTTGATGTGGTTTGTAGAAACAGAGCAGTGTGTTTGGCTGTCAAGGTGTCAAGGGATTCAAGTCGCCTCCTGAATGAAAATTATGTCAGGTTAAGAAGTGGTAAAAGGTGGCAGTCGAAGAAATCCCGCACTTCGAGGCACCTGGGCCCCGTCTTACAAAGAGTTACGATCGATCCAAATCAATCGTAAGTCCTCCAATCAATCGCAAGTTTGCAGTCTCCTATCTCTTATGTACATAGTTACGATTGATATCAATCGCAAATAAGTTACGATTGATATCAACTCTTTGTAAGACGGGGCCCTGAACTCTTTTCTTCCGTACTCTATCCGTCTGTTGAATGAAATGTAAAATGTATGATTCATAATATTTTCTTTACTATTTGATTGTAGGAAATGATCAAAAACTAATTTGTATTTATTAAATGACAATTTTATTTAACTCCTTATAATAGCCATCCTTTCTCAAATGATATGAAAATGTCTCTTTTGTATTTATACTCACATGTCATAATATATTGCATTTTTATTATTAATTAACTATTTCATACTCAGTGCCTTCAATTTGGTATTCATATTGCATACATATTGCATTCATATTTAGGTTTTATTTATAGGGACAATTAATGTAACAGTTGTGGATTTATCAGGATAAGATATTGCATCCCCAGAGGATATGAACATCATTTACTTACTAGGATATATACAGTGTACATGGTTATTTTTTACACCATATAGAAAATATTTATGATTACAAAATATTATGATTGTTAAACTGTTTGTGATTTATTGTTTGTCTAATAATGCTATTATAAAAATATAATGAGCCAAACGAATGACAACAATAACAATAAACTAATAATAATATTAATAATAATTATAGTAATAATAATTACAATGCTATATTGTGTTGGTAATTACTCGGATATATAAACAAACATTGAATATAACGTAAATTTAGAGAAAATATCTATATAATGTGAATGTTAAAGTGCTATATGTTGTCTCTCTCTATATACTATATTTATTTTGTAAGTATCATGTCCCATCTACATTCATTCATTTTTTCCTGTGAATAATGCATGAAAATGCAACGAATTTTCATTTGAACTAATAGATTTGAATACAATTGAATTGATCGGATTCTCTCTCTCTCCCTCTCTCTTTCTATATCTTCTATTCCCTCCCACGCGGTTTGTTTGCGATCACTTTCATGCACACGTTTAATCATTTATCGTTTCCATGACAGTTCAGCGTTGATAATGATGATTTCTAGTGGCGTTCTAATATAAAATGACATGCACCTTCTTTTGCCGTCATTAATTATCTGTGTCTGACGCCTCAGCGCAATTTTGACTTTCACAGATCAAAATAGTACATAGGCCTACTCATTGGATTTTATTTTATTTTGACAATCTCATTGGCTTCTAACTGAGGAATATTTATTCTGTTAATAAAGCCTTATTTGCAACGTGTCCATTCTACGAGTGTGCCTGATTATCATGGATCGCAATAATTTGTCGATGTTGGTGGCAAACATGACGTCCAATGACTCGAGCCCTACCGACGAAATCGACGAATTCGGGGTGGACTTCGATATCAGTAACAATACCATCGTAAATCTAACGTACTACATAACGTCATTAATCTTAGGAATAACCGGCAATGCCATCATTCTGCAGACTTACGCATGGAAGAAACGGAAGACGAGCACGGATTACCTTATCATGGGCCAAGCCGTCATCGACTTCATTGCTTGTTCGTTTTCTTTGCCCTTCATCATCCGGAGCGGTTTCCCCGAACTCATTACGATAGGTTTGTGTCGCTTTGTATTCTACGCGGAAGAGATCTTCGCTCTTAACTCCTTGCTCCTGACCACACTGATCAGCATAGACCGTTATCTGGCCGTATGCCATCCACTTCGACGTCGAATGACGGTACGAAAGTCGATTTCACTCATCATACTTTGTGTCGTTATTTCCATCGTGATCTACCTACCCTGTCCAATTACGACATCCTGGACCATTTGGAATGAAAGAAGAGTATGTAAGTTTGTGTCATCGAATCCATTGGGGACCGTCTTATTTGTATTGCTTATTTCCAGTGTGTTCACTGTATCGTTTGCCACGAATAGTTTCCTTTACATTTTGATATATGCTTTCTTACGAAAAAGAGCGAAGATTCACGCCAAGCTGACAGGCAATGAACTCCCAACAGCTACTGTCGCTTCAAACGCTTCACTCGAGTCGAATTCGAGGGTTAACCACGCAGAAACAAGTAGTGCAATTCGTCCTCGTCCGGATGACACAAACATGAAAGACCCGTCCGAAGCAATACAGGTTTCATCGCAATTGGAGACAGCAGGTTGTTCCAATAATACCAGCACACCACCATCTCTTAGAGGTGAAGCCGCCGATTTGAATCTCACAAAGTCAGTGCCTGAACCATCGCATGAATACGGCAAACACATCCCGCTGCCTAAAAGTGACGTTATACCTGGTCAAGATGCTTCATCATCAACGGCAGCTACAGTTCCTCAACGTCGTAATCCTAGTCCGCGTCGATCAAAGGCGCAGAAGAACAACAAAGACTTTGGACGAAAAACAACGCGTATGCTGCTAATTGTAACCATATTCCTCTTTGTCACTTGGATTCCACAGGTTGGGTTTCCATTCATCCCTTCTTCAATTATACACGGAAAGATTCAAATTTTAACACTTCTGTCCACGTTCTATAACCTTAGACTGACCAATCACATTGTCAACTTCTACGTCTACTATTGCGTTAATAGCAGTTTTAGACGAGATGTCAAGGGGTCATTTGCAAAGTACCCACACTGCAAGTAGCTCATAGAGATGCAATTCTATGATATGGAAAGGACATTTTAATTACTGTATTTGCCTTCAGAGGGAAGGTGTAGGTATAGGCATGGAGCACATCCAGATTTGTTAATCCGATCGTGTGCAGTTGGTCCATCGTTTAATTTAATAGCTGAGGCTAGAGACAAAAGGGCGTGCTGCGATAATGTCACGAGCCTAGGTTTTCCCACTCTCAGAAATTTCTTTTATCATCCTGGTTATTCTCGCGTAGTCATTTATTCATCTGGTCTTCAAAACAACCACCAATGTTTGTCGCATAGTAATAGGCGAAAGAATTGAGATGGAAAAATCAACCTTGACGAGTAGACTTTTATTTGAGTTCATGTTGAGTAAACGTTGTGCGCTCATACTATACTGGTAAATGTGTGGGGAGAAAATGGCGCCACGCCATATATGGAGCTAAAGGGACCCAGACCTGTATTTAGTCGAAGGACTGATGTGGGCTTCTATAGATTAAAGAAAAATCTCTTACAGATATAGAGCAACGCAACGTAACAAGAAATATAACTGAAATTAAATGAATTCGCCATCTTTTGATAAATGTATAATTTTATGTCTATTGAGTTGCCACGACGATCGCAATCGCCTAATTGCTTTTGGTTTGATCGTTCGAGGGTGCTCGATGTCAATCCTTTTCCCAGCGGATAGGAAAGACAATCTTAAAGGTATAGACCAGTTTTGGAAACGCCTCCCTCTCAAAAAATAAAATGGAAGCTCTTATTACCAATCATGTGAAAGAATATGTTTTGATTAGTACATGATAATAGAAATTTTGCTGGGGAATCGCCTACTAATTGATATATTTGGTAAATTATTATATCTATCCGGATCGGATAGATGTCGCGTAGTTCCATTAACATATTTCTGTGTACAGTGCTTGAATCTTTACCAAGACTGGGCAAAATTTCTTATCATTTTGATGATTCCAGAACCTTGCAGTATACACCAATACTTATATGCTAGATGATCAATCTTTTCTAATCGATTCCACAACGTTTCTTTCAAAATGCAATCGTATGACCAGAACTGGCCTTTACCTTTCACACAATTGACGATCACAAGACATTTATCCCTTTCTTTGTTTGTACTCCCCTCCCTCGACCTCTCTTTCTGTGTTCATCAGATATGGGGTAACAATAACAAGCATGACATGAAGGGCTGAATTTTTTAGAGTGAAAAAGCAATAGAAAAAATGCTACAATCATGTCAACGGAGATCGAATGGTTTATATCCGTTCATCCTTGCAATCATCCGCCAGAAAATTGTTTTGTGTTTTCATTTAAAAAGTAACATCAATATGGAAGGTATATTTGAAACGGTTCTCCAATTTAATCTGCTTTGTACGTGATCGGTCTTGAGGTGCGTGTAATGTCAAACGGATTGATAATAACATTACTGTTTGATAATCAGATAATGTATTTAAGTCGTAAGAGAGAAATTTTATCTTTAAAGGAAAATTAACCTCAAACTATATGTTAATTCTACTTTGTAGGCCATTTTAAACAGTATCTGAAAAATACAAAACTTCGTACATTTGACGAAAAGGAGACCGTAACTTTTTTTTCAGAATACTTCGTCTTTCGCGGCTCTGAGAATTTTCATTACGTCGCCATTGTGTTTGCACACGGCCCGTTCTGTGACGTATCGCATGGATTCAACCGCTATTGCGTACGCCGTTTTCCTGCTGTAAACTGCACAATGTTCATTCAGATCACATTTTTTTTCCTGTCGACCTTCAGAGATAATACCTATATCTTGAATATTTAATTGCGATTGTGTTGGTCTGAAAACCGATGAAACGATTTACCCTTGGTTTTTGAGGAACAATTATTACAACCAGTACACCTTGTTTGACGTGTATCGCATATAACGCGCGCACCGTGCGCTACATCAGTTATCCTTGCGATACGTCACGACCCGGAAGTTTTGAAGGAAAATTTCGACAAAATGACAGTTTTCTTGGGGAGCGGACGACGTCGTAAATATGGTGAAGAAGGGTCTCTTTAATGTACTTGCAAGACGATATTATTTGGCCTACAGCAATGCTTTTTATATCAAATGAAACGTTGTATTACTCCCTATGTCATGAAAGTGCTTCAGGGTCGAGAGGTTAATTCCCCTTTAAAATAAAACATGTCAAGGACAATGGATTGATGTAAGCCTACATAATTTTGTGTCGTTCATTATTTTAATCGGCTAAAAATTACTTTTCTTCTAAGCATTTAAAGAGTATCGATGACATTTATGTATAATTGTAGAGTGATTCTATGTCACACGTACATTGCAAAAGTATATTCATTTTCATTATTGTTTGTTAAAAATACAAAGTAGTAGCCTTTGGATTACTTGCGCGATGTTTACAGTGTAAACATGGTCATGGAATAGAATCATCTATATGCCAATATCAACAGGTGATAACATTAATATAATATTTGACGATAACACGTTACTGTAATAACATTCGCACGGACTAGCAACAATGTCTAGCACGCACTGACTTCTAATTTCAATTGGGATTTGTTTCTAATGTTTCAATTTCATAAAATAAGATTTCATCAGATTAAACAACTGGCCATTTAATTCGCATATATAATTTTTACATCAAGGTATAATTTGTACAGATGGAAGATAGTACGTATACTGGTTATAAATGAGTAGAGATTAAAATGATAATTATGCTAAATTTTTTGAAAATTGTAATGCGTTTGAAATATCACTTCTATGTTTGATGTGGTAATGTAATTTAATGAGACGAAGAAATTTTTAATGAATTTCAATAGGGGCAATAGGGTACCAACACTTCACACTTATTTGTCTGTCATAAGACATAATATCTTTTAATAACTATGTGAAGATGTTGGGCAGAGAGGCAGGCCGTGTGTCATAATTTGATTTCTCCATCTTGCATCAGTTGCAGAATAAATTCTGGGATATAAGGATACACTGGCAATATAATTATTTAAAATCGCCAAAGGAAGAAAACAAATATCTAGGGTGTTATCGCTAGATACTTTTGTCACACCACCAAACTGACTCCAGACCTTCTCCAACCAGACCGGTTTGGGGGATATTCGGATAAATTCATTTTAGATATTTTTTTTGAAATATTTTGGTCGATCAATTTTCGGTCTGGTGTCGATCTGTATGATATGCCTGGGGTATTAAGGTGGCAGAGCTGTGGTGGAGATTTTGTCTACTAGCGGATAAGTCACTAGAAGCTGATGGTACGGGGTTCGAATACCTGCCACGGTATTAAATGTAATTTACATTTTTTGGCAAGATATAAATCGATGTTTATGTGCCATTATAATTAAATGTAAACATTATAATTATAATTAAATGTAAACATTATGTACTGTGTATTAAACTATCTTATGTATTTTTTGAGAAATGTACAATTTTCTTTATATTTTGATATATGTAAATCAATGAAGCTGTATGTTTGTTTGTTATATATTTTGTACTGAATGAATACAATAAAACAATACTACCAAAAAAAATAAAAAATTATGTCTTCATTTACAACTATCCACTACATGTATATAGTACAGTAAATGCATTTTGTAATCCACTTTTTTCTTTTTCTCTTTTACCTGCTTTGGGGAGAAACAAAATGCTCTAGATTTAACAATTATCCACATGAACAAAGTGTTCATTACCACAAAAATATATTTGCTCTTCCACCAAGTGAAATGATACGATAGAGTATTAATTTTCATCGCCATAGCAATAATTTAATTATAGATTGAGTGAAGAATCCTAAAAGTACTAATGTGGCATAAAGCAAATAGACTAGCACAAAATGGCAGAAAAAGCAAACATATGATACAGAGATGGTAGTGGGATAGGGGCAGAGAGAGAGAGAGAGAGAGAGTGTGTGTGTGGGGGGGGGGCAGAATAGAGAGACAGAGGAAATATTGGCAGGGAGGGTGGGGCAAAATAGGAGAAAGAAGTAAGATCGAAGATAAAGAGTGAGAGCTGGTATAGAGAGAGAGAGAGAGAGAGAGAGAGAGAGAGAGAAATAAAATAGAGTGATTGTTTGTATGTGTGTTTCGTTTGTGTGTGTAAAGAGAGAGGAAAGAGGGGCAGGGAGGAAGAGGGGTTTGGAAGAAGAAAAATAGAAGAGGGCGAAGAAAAATACAGGAAAAGGAGAATGGCTGAGAAAGAGAGAGAGATAACATACACAGACAGAGGCAGAGAAGGGGGCAGGAGGGGGAAGAAAATGGGGGAGGGAGGGAGAGGAGTTAGAGTAGTAGCAGCAGCAGTAGTAGTAGTAGTAGTAGTAGTAGTAGTAGTAGTAGTAATAGTAGTAGTAGTAGTAGTAGTAGTAGTAGTAGCAGCAGTAGTAGTGGTGGTGGTGGTGGTGGTAGTGGTTTATCGGCCACAACGTCCATTCCATTAATTACAAAACAACTAATACAGTGTGAGATATAAATTGTTAAAAACCAAAATTCAAAGCATGGAAATACATGCAAAAGAGGAACATCATACAATTCTAACACTATTGTGAAAATATAATTTTTTTGTTTAGATAGCATACAATTGTCAATATTTAATGGAAAAAGGGAAAACAAAAACAAAAGCTTTTTTAATGTATTATATCAATACCACAAAGCAATAACTGTCTTTAAATGCTTCCAGGTAGGAATAGCTATATCATTATAAAGCTGCATGTCTAACGCTCAATCCTAACGATAATTACATTATACAAATACTTGATGTCGTGAATCACCTTCAAATAATTGAATTGAATTGAATTGAATTTATTTTCTTCTGCAACATACAAATCAAATTACATTTCAGCAATACAACATATACGAAATAAAACAAACTACATTTTAGCGATACAACGTATACAAAATATAACAACTGTTTTGAACGTGTACACATAACAATAACAGAAATGTTAACATTAAAACAGAATTCAACCTGCAGGAGAAGGGATATAACAGTATTAAAGCGCTTGT